GTTCTCTTGTCTAAGAACTTTATATCCTTCTAATAATCCATCCCAACTACTTGTGAATAGCCCTTGGCCACAAGAGCTTTGCCTTGTAACAAGAGATTAAATCATCTGGATTTACCTTAATTTATAAGGATTTTACCAAATTTTTGTTGCAAAGTGATTGTGGGTATTGAAAGTTATATGTTGGCAAGTCTTTTTAGATATTCTTCTCTTATTGTCACAATAACAAAAGATCAATATTGCTAATTCTTAGTCCCTTTTATTCAAGTGTTAATAAACTAAACTTAATATTTATATATATCTTCACATTAGGCCATGGTATGCTAAAATAATGCTAAATTCCATTTGGCTCTGTTGGACTTCCTAGAAGCTCACCCAACCCAATATCACTTAAACCCAAGGACATTTAACTCTAAATATCTTAAAACCCTTAACTAATTGGGAAAGAAAATGCACTCTTATTTATGGGCCCTTTTCCTAAACCCTTATAAATCATCTCTCAAATTATTTCTTTTTAATTGCTTACAATCCATTATGTTTCTTTATAAGTTCACACCTTTGTGAATGGAAGTTGAGAGCTATAGCTCTCTTAAGATTCCCACTCTTTTAACATCCTACCCTCGAATCAAACTTAACCAAACCAAATTATACCATCTATTATAAGTAAAAAAGGATGTATGTTCTAGAAGGGGAATTAAGGAAAGTAGCTTTAAAAGAGTGTTATGATGGACCTCTTGCGGGACACGGCAGAGTGCCCAAAATGATGGGCTTATTCAAGAGGAAGTATCACTGGCTAGGTATGGTTAAAGACATTCAAGACTATGTAAAGACATATTCAACATATCAGTAGGTTAAAGCCATGACTAAAGCTAGTGGGGGCTTGTTACAAAGCATCCCAATTCCAAATCATCCCTAGAAATGTCTTATGATGGACTTCATCACAGGATTTTTCCCAAGTGAGGGGTTTGATATGATATTCGTGGTGGTGGACTGATTTTCAAAGATGGCACATTTTATACCCACCACAACGAAAGTGGATGTGGAAAGTGTGGCAAAGCTATTCTTTGAACAAGTGGTTCGAGTGCGGGAAAGGCTAAAGGAGATAATTTCAGATCAAGATAAGATCTTCACTAATAGGTTCTAAAGAAGTCTCCTGGAACAGTATCGCACCAAGTTGAAATTCAGCACAATCTATCACCCATAGACAAGTATTGGGTATTAAATCAAGTTGGATGACACTAACACTTCTTGGTAGATGGACAAACAGAAAGGGTGAATAGGCAGCTGGAGGATTATTTGCAATGCTATGTCTTTGGAGACCAGACTGATTGGGTAAATCATTTGGGACTTGCAAAAATGTGCTATAACAACTTACCACACTCAAGTATTAGGGTGAGTTCATGGGAAGTCATCAATGGGCAAGCTATTGAAGGTCCTATATAATTCTGCGTGGCCAAGTATCATGAAGAGTTACCCGCAGTGGAGGTATTCACAGCGGAAAGATTCAACATTTGGAATCTAATAAGGGATTCTTTGGAACAAGTTCAACAAAAGCAAACCAAGTATGCAAACAAGAAGTGCCGAGATGTAGAGTTCTAACCTAGGGAGAAGGTGTGGCTGAACACCAAGAACCTAAGGCTACCAAGTGGGATCAGCTGGAAGTTGACCCAAAGGTAAAATGCATGTATTCTTGGAAATGAACTGATCTTGAGTTCCTTAAGCAGGTTCGTGGGGCCTTACAAGTGTAAGTAACCAAAGGGAACGACTTGAGAGACGATCTATAGGGGTTCAAATATAAAGGGAAAGGGCCCATGAACAAAAGTGCACCCCCTTTTCAATTGGTTAAGGGTCTTGGGATATTTGGGGTTAAACGTCCTTGGGTTTGAATAATACTGGGTTGGGTGGTAAAGTGGCTTACCGCCTCCAACTTCCTCGAGAAATGGGGAAAATGCACTTAATATTCCATATGAACTTATTCAAACCGTACTTTGAGGATCCACTTTACAAGGACCAAGTAAAACCTTTATCTAAGGTTATCCAAGGGAAAGAGGAATACAAAGTTGAGGCTATCCTCAATGCGCGCAAGAGCAAGCAACAAGGACGCAAAGTAAAGGAGTTCCATGTAAAGTGGAAAGGATTTCTATACTGCGAAGCAACATGGGAACCAAAGGACAATCTAGCGAACGCATGAGATCTAGTGGAGGAATTTATGTAAGGCAGAACTCTATGTACTTATATAAAGTTTAATTAAAGTATCAATTTGTGAAGTTGAGCAATGGCATATGTTGGGACCTATAGTTGTGCCAAAGGTAAGCTAATTAACATAGGTTAGCTATATCGACCAAGCATAGGAAACTACGCTTGACTCTCCACAAGGATGTAAATGTATTTTACAAAAGTTGGGTTCAAGTCTCAACCCTCTAGTAAAGCAAAGTTGGGTTCAAGTCCCAACTTTATACTAGGGTGTGGTGAGGTGAGGTGTGTAGGAATACTTATACTCTATTGTCATGGGCTCTTGGCTGGGGAGGCTAACTTAGGCACACCGCTAAGTGGGGGGATGCCCCGGGAGACATGGTCAACAAGTCATAGGATGTAAAAGATGTGTTTAATGTGGGTGTTGAACTTTTTCTATGGGTGGTGGAGTTGTAAAGAACCAACTCCCTAAAGTGTCGAAGGCTAAAGGATCTCTGAAAGCACGACCAAAATGATAAAGAGTTCATCAGATGAAACCGAGTCTGAGATTGAGTCTGAGATCGACTCTAAGACCGAGTTTAAGACTGAGTCCGAGACCAACTCTAAGACTGAGTTCAAGACCGAGTCCGAGACCGAGTTTGCGATCCAATATTGGATCTGAGACCAAGTCCGAGATCGAGTCCGAGACAGGGTTTGAGGTCGGGTTCGAGATGGAGTCCGAGATGGAGTCCGAGACCGAGTCCAAAGTCAAGTCCAAAGTCAAGTCCAAGATCGAGTCTGAGACCGAGTCCGAAAACTAATATAGGTCATGGGGTGAAAGGCCAAAGCGTGTGTCTCCTGGGGGGGGGGGGGGAGGGGGCTGCAAGGGGTTCCAAAAGTATAGTAAGGATAGTGAGGTCCAGAAACTAGTCTTGAAGGAACTCTCCAGTAGTGCTTCCAAACTAACTTGAGGTTGAGACTGAGGCGAAGGGGCTTTGGGTGGGAGTGAGCATGGATTCGGGTGGTGCCGGAGGCCACCCAAGGAAGTGCTCAAGAATAGCTCCTACTCCCAGAAGGGAAATTGACTGTGGTGCTCCCGGCTCATGTGGAGTGGTGCCCCACTTGAGTACCTTGCGGCTGTAGTGCATGTGGTTTTAATCCTTTATCATATGGGGCTTTACCATAAGATAACACCATGAAGCGGAACCTAAACCCTCTTTATGCCATGTGTCACATGCCACGTGTCCATAGAACAGTGGTGTGGAACCCGAGGTTCAAGGCCTTGGGCCACTGAACGAAGGAACAATGCCAAACTCCCAAGCATGGAGCCAAGGAGTGATGAAACCGAACCATGGAGCAATTCTCGAGCATACAGCCCAAGGAGCGAAGGGACAAGAGCCCAAAGCGATTGGAACAGTCCTAGAGCAACCAGCATCCCAATGCCAGGACCAACATACAAAACGGAGCCCAACAAGGTTTGGCGCTATTTCAGCATACCAGTGGCCTAACGCAAGGACATGGGTACTCCACTAGCTAGCATGGTGTGGAACTTGGGCTTAGACCCAAGTTGGATGCAGAACAAAGACAGACACGCAAGCAGGAGCTAGACTATGCCTACTATACATTTGGAACCCTTTACAGATTAAATACATACACGAAGAAATGATTTGCAATGAGGTGTGATATCATTACTTATATTCACTTCATGCAATCAAGAGTTTTTATTTTGATGCATGTTAATTATGATGGTCTTACAAGTGGTGAGTCATAAGTGGATAGTGGTGAAATGCTAAATCATTTTGTTTAGACTTGCTATTGCAATACTTAATTCTTTTCCAAAGAACTTTGTTACTATTCCTTAGGTAACTTGGTGTTAAATTAATTTTGAGTTTTGTCAAGTATAAACTTGCTGATGTTATAATTGAAGTTAGTGGTGTTATATATATTATAAATCTTTGTAAGTGAAATATGATATTTATATTGCATTTTGTTACTTGGAGTTGACACTTAATACTATAGTAATGCAAGGCTTGGGGCATATCCCAGGTAGGGGATATTTCCTCAGCAGTCTCAATACAATATCTTCTCTTAGCTTACTGGCTATTTCGAAAAGTACAGGTGTCAAGAACAGTCATTCCAAAAATGCAATCTTAGTGTTTTTGGAAATGAAATCTAGAGGAATTCTTCTAGACTCCATCACTTAGAAAAAACTTTGCAAAGCTGGGTCTCTTCTTGTGGCAAATCTGATTATGAGAAACTAACATCAACATGATGGTAGCTATTGAATGTATGGGAAATGCTCTGAATTGTGGGCTGCCGATTGTGTGTTTTTCTCAAGGTTTGTTTGTACCACTGTGTCTTGGAATGCCGTGATTCAGCATATGCTCAAATGGAAATATTTGCAAAGTGTTGGGCTTCTTTATGGACATATTTTTGGACAGTGTTTCTCCACACATTCTTAGTTCTCATTCATTCATTCATATTCATTCATAAGTTGTTTATATTTATATATATTTACATACAGTGTTTTGCCAAGTGAGGTTTTATTCTTAGTTCTATGCAGCCATGGAGGCTGGTTCAGAAGGCTTGAGTTTGTTTTGTTCAGGCTCATGTGTAGCAGAGCTTGGTGCAAAGGCTGGATGGGGAACGCTTGTTGCACGTGAAGAAAATATTGGGGCTTGGACTTTGGCATTGGCAGCATTTATTAGTGAGTGTAGACAGTGCTAAATATGCTCTTAATTTCATATGCTTTGTGTAGATAATTATGTAAATTCTAGTTATATTAAAATCAATTCATACATTCCTTCTCTCACCTACAAGGGAAAACAAAAATGACTTCTATATTGAAGAGTTGCTTGATTAATAGATTGGGAAGCCTCAAAGTGAAAGCTCTGGATGGCAATGCGAATGAGGAGCCAAGAAAAGTGGAAATTGTTCCCGAGGGATGGCAAATCTTGAAGCCCATTCCCGAGATCAACAACCTTGGCTCTGCTTCGTCATCCAAAGGGATTGGCATTGGAACTCCAGTAGTAGTCACTGAGGCTCCTCAAATCCTCAAGACTGCCGAGCCAATGCCAATGCTGCGCAAAAACGATGGAGTAATTCGCCCTGGGGATGTTGGCAGGTAAATCTCTACCACAAATTCCTTTTTGTACTCAGGAAAAACTGTGCAGGATAATTGATAGGAGACCAAAGAATGTCTGGGCTGTGAGGTTCGCCATCGGAGCTTATCTAATCGATGGGAAGTGTTTCAAAGAGTTCAAGCCATGAAATTTCAATCTTCCTTTGTGGAGCTACAACTAAAATCGTTGATTAATTTACAACAACGAACCATTCATGGCCGCAGTGTAATATATCTGTGATCGTCTTTGTCAGGTTTCCACACAGATTAAACGGGATCTCTTGTCATGCCTCGGGATCCATTGATTCGCAGGTAAGCTACGAGCTGGCCGTGTTTTTTAGCATTCCTTCGACGGGTTGGATCATCCACCTGCCAAATGCTTCCAGCAGATCACCTCTTCCAGAAGCAGCTTCAATCTCAACCAAACACAAAGAATCTAAACCCCGGAGATGCCCGATGCGACCTGGGCCTCGTTGATCTTTTGGGCTCTCTTACCTTTCAGAGAAAAGGTATAAAATAAACCTGTCGATTTGTGGAGTTTTTCCAGCTTAAGTCTATTTTTTCCTAAAGGTGTTTGGGTCGTTAATTCGAGTAATGGGCTCTTACGAATATTGCGTCTGGCACTTCCGATCACACAACGGTCGTTATAAACCATGTTCGCAGTTTTAAGCCTTGGAACCTGACATTGTCTCGTACTACAAGCAGAATGGGCTCTTGGTAATGTCGCTGGCGACTCTCCAAAGTGCCGAGACCTCGTCCTGAATAACAATGCCATGACGCCGTTGCTAGCACAGCTGAACGAAAATGCGGTGCTGTCTATGCTGCGCACCGCAACGTGGACGCTATCAACCTTTTGTCGTGGCAAGCCGCAGCCGAACTTTGAGCAGGTATGCATGCGGGTCCTTTGTAGGCATGTCGATACAGATTTTGGTCGTTGGTCGGTGTTGTTTCATGCAGTCGAGACCTTCTTTATCTTCTCTAGAAAAGCTGATTCATTCGACTGATGAGGTAATCCTTACTGATGCATGCTGGGCTTTGTCATACATATCCGATGGCACAAACAATGAGATTCAAGCTGTCATTGAGGTCGGCGTTTGTCCACGTCTTATGAGTTTACTCATGTAAGTCGTGTCTTTAGCTCTGACTTTTAACTGGCCTGACGTTCCTGGTTCCAGGTATCCTTCACCGAATGTTCTTATTCCTGCTCTTCGTACGGTGGGAAACATTGTGACTGGTGACGATGTCCAAACGCAGGAAAACTTGAAACGGAACAACAATGGAGCACTGCCATATTTGTTACATCTTCTCACCAATGTTTACAACAAGAAGGATGCTTGCTGGACAATCTCGAGCATGGAACTTCTTGCCAACGCCGAGTTTGACATAAAGAAAGAGGCAATGCAACCTCTGGCGGTACACATGAACAAATCAAATAGGTTGTCATTGCGCTGAGACGCTGTACCTGACTCTGGAGATGCAGGTATCTCGTGAACCAGGGATGCATCAAGCCTCTATGCGACCTCCTCAACTGTTCCGATGCCAAGATCATTGTGGTGGCCTTGGAGGGCCTAGAAAACATCCTCACGGTCTGCTAGACGGAGAAGGACCCGGGAAACACTGGCTCCATCAACATCTACGCCAAGTTCATCGACGAGGCGGAGGGCCTGGAGAAGATCGAAACCCACGATAACAACGAGATATACGACAAGGTGATCAAGATCCTCAACAGCTACTGGGTGGAGGAAGACGAAGAGAACGTTGCTCCTGGCGTAGCTCCAGCGCCCATTTGCATTCGGGAATCAAGATCATTCGGGAATGTGCCGAGTGGTGGCTTCAATTCCGGTTGAGGTATGCCATTTCTTTTCTGGATCTCTCGAAGTGACCGACTTGGTGCAGAAGACCATCTCATGTCTCGATCGAGTCGAGAGGAGAAAGAGATTTGCTTGGTCCGCGATGTGAGCAGCATCCGCGATCTGTGGCAGACGAAGCTGTGCTGGTGTAAAGTCGAGTTGAGTTTGAGCTAGTCGATGGTCGACAAGCTTTTTGCAGACCCGCCGGGGGAAGGAGAGGGTCTTGTAGAACAGCAGCGAGCTCTTGCTGTCTCGTATTTGTGTTGTCTTTGTTTAGCCGGACGTGCTAAATGCGGTGGGGTCACGGTTGCGTAATGTCCTTCTATTACAAGGACATTACGCAATGTCCTTGCTATTACAAATTCGATGTATGCAAAAGATTGAATGAATGAAATGAATGAGTTGAATGTCTCCAAGCTTATAGCTTCTTGCAACTCTTTGGAGGATGCGAAGGCTTTGCATGGACAAGTTGTGAGGCAAGGTTTGGATCGCCAACTTTTCATTGGCACTGCACTTGTAAGAATGTACGGGAGATTGGGCTGCGTGGAGGAGGCTAGGTGGATTTTTGAGAAGATGCCGGCGAGAGATGCTGTGGCCTGGACTGTGATGCTCTGGGTATATGCCCACGCAGGGCATCTTGAGGAATGTAGGAGGACGTTTTATAAGATGCCCAGGCAGGACGTGGTGGCCACGAATGTGATGATCCGAGCTTATGCCCAACACGGGTGTATGAAAGAAGCAAAAATACTGTTTGGAAATATGCTTGAACCGAGTGTGATGTCGTGGAACTCTATGATTTCTGGCTACTGCTTGAGTGGGTCTTTGGTAGAAGCCCGAGAGATGTTTGATCGCATGCCTGCGAAGGACGTGGTGACATGGACGATACTGTGCCGTAGCTACGCGCAGCATGGTTACATTTGTGAGGCAATGAAGCTATTCGAAAATATTCCAGAGAAAAATGTTGTTTCATGGAACTCCTTAATTTCCGCTTTTGCCGAAACGGGGAAAATGCAGTACTGCGTCGTCTTGTTCGAGAGGATGCCCCAGAGAGACATTGTGTCGTGGAGCATCTTGTTTTGGGCATTTTATCATTATTTTGAAAATTTTGAAAACGCAGAAAAAGTTTTTAATGACATGCCCGAGCACGATGTAGTGGTGACAACCGCGATCATGGAAGCATATGCCCGGTGCGGGCATCTTTACCGTGTGGAAGAAATGTTTTCATATATGCCGTTTCGAAGCGAGGTGTCTTGGAATGTGTTGGTTCTCGCGCTCGTCCAGAGTGGCGAGCTAGATCGAGCACAACAAACGCTTGAGTTGATGGACGGACAAAGTCCTCACGTCTGGAACACCGTACTTGCGGGGAGAGCTCGAGAGAACCAGATTGAGAAAACCCTTTACTTGTTTAGACTCATGGACCTGCAAGGGCTGAGAGCCGATCACGTAACATTTGCGAGCGTTTTGGGTGTTTGTGAGACTATCTCGTCTCTCGAGTTGATCCGCGCGGAGGTCACCAGCATTGGAATTGAAACAAATGTGGTTGTTGCGACGGCCTTGATTGATGCTTATGGTAGGGTCGGAATGATTGATGCCGCGAGGAATTGCTTTGATAACATTGCTCAAAAGGACTTGTTCGTGTGGACTGCGATGCTTGGGGCATTTGCTAAGGTAGGGGATATTTCCTCGGCGGTCTCCGTGTTTGAGAATATGCCCCAGCACAGCATCGTCTCTTGGAACTCGCTTCTTTCCACGTATTTGAACGCTGGGTATTTCGAAAAAGCACGGGTGCTGCTCGACACAGCTCCCGAGCGCCGTGTTTCAACATGGAACGTTTTGATTGGATCATGCGTCAAGAATGGTCGTGCCGAAGATGCAATCTCAGCGTTTCTGGAAATGGAGTCTAGAGGAATTCTTCCAGACTCTGTCACTTGGATACAACTTTGCGGAGCTGGGTCTCTTCTTCACCAAAGCAAACTTGTGGCAAATCTGATCACAAGAAATTGTTGGAAGCACGACGTGATGGTCAGTACTGCAGTTATCGACATGCATGGGAAATGCTCTGAATTACAGGCTGCCGAATTTGTGTTTAGCACGATGCCTGTTTGTACCACTGTGTCTTGGAATGCCGTGATTGCGGCCTATGCTCGGAATGGAAACATTTGCAAAGCATTGGGCTTCTTTAGGGAGATGTTTTTGGACAGTGTTCCTCCAAACGAGGTCACATTCTTAGTTCTCATGAATTCATGCAGCCATAGAGGATTGGTCCCTGAGGGCATGAATTTGTTTTATTCCCAGGAGCTTCCTAGTTCCAGGTCTATGCATCACTCGTGTGTAGCAGACCTTAGTGCAAGGGCTGGATGGGTAACGCTTGATGCAAGTGAAGAAAATATTGGGGCTTGGACTTCTGCATTGGCAGCATTTATTCGCCAAGGGGACTACATGAATGGGGTGGATGTGATCAGACGTATTGTAACACTAGGTAATGCTAAATATGCTCTGTTAATCTCAAATCTTTATGCTTTGTGCAGATGATCTAAATTCAAGCACAAAAGAACATAACTTTTGTTTATGATTTTTTGCTTAGGTGTTTAAAAAATATACCTGTTGGAAATGCATGTTTGAATCATCTCACAAGCCAGCACTTTGCTCTTTATATTATGAAACAATTAACAACTTTATTCATGATGGGATCCTCTTGAGCGGTATGTAAGTTTTAAGAAACTCATAAACAGACAAAATCTTCTAAATTTGTACAGTCATGTTCATTCTATTTCCATTGGTTATAAGTTCTTGTAGACAACAAAGATAAAAATCGTAAGAATAAAAACTTTATAAAATGTGAACTCTCAAACTTGAAAAATAAAATCTAAAGTCTTGGGAGTCATTGCAGTCTGGCTATGAATTGGCTGGCTCAAAAGCAGCAACAATCAAAAGAAAAGATCACTACTTATCACCCTCACCATGAACTATAACCTCATCCATGCCAACAGCTCTAGCAAAATTTGATTGGTAGTTGCAATCTCTATTACTATACAGTGACATATGAGCGCCATGTATGTTCGAGAGAAATGTGTTTTGATCAATGGTCTTGTAGGCTGCCCAAGTCCATGGTAACAAGGGCTATGGCCTTATTTGATGGCAACTGCAATCTCTACTATACAGCAATATGAGCAGTGCCACTTATGTTGAAATGTTTTTTATCAATAGCCTCATAGGCTGCCCAAGTCCAGGTTACAACTAGGCTAACAAAGGCCATGCTTTTAACCATTAAGGTTCATCCCATTTGCTCCTATATATAGCTATATGATTTTCAGTAAACTATGCATAATAAGTCTTGTAGTGGTCAAATACTATATATAAATTATAATTCTCATAAAGAAATTCTTTATAAGGCTGCATTTAAAATGTATGAACTATATTGGAGATTTAACATCCTATTGGAGAAGCTTTATGACAAAGTTGGGTCATTGGATTCTTTGAAACCAACCTCTAGCTGCAAGTATTGGAACTGAGGTCCCAGATAGGCAACTCAAGTTTTGGTAGATGCACTTACCACGCAAATAACAGTTGTTTGGTATTGTCCTTGAGGAGGCTCTGTGCAGTGTGGGAGAAGCAAGACGACATTGTACTGACCAACTCCTTAGGTTCAAGATGCTTAGTGTGAGCAGCTCGGTACATGAGTGAATCTAGAACAACATGCACTTAAAAAACTAGCTTTCTCCAAAAAAGGCACTATACATTGCTCAGGAGATCCACGCCTTGCAAAACATCAATATGCTAAGTCATGAAGGGTTGCAAACGAACTTATCCAACAGCAAAGAGATAAGATTTATGTCAACAAAGGTGTTTGTCATATCACTTCATATCAGCTTTATTCGGCATAAAAGGTTCATATGCTATCAACATGCTGGCTCAAAAAGATTGTTGATGACCTGACATACAAAAAAACTCACCAACTTAAAGTGAGTATTAACACTAATAAAGAAAATTATCATGTATTCCCATGCTGGTGAGCCTCTACCTGTAATGATCTCGAGAGATCATATTTCAAGGCCAGCAGAAGTGAGAAGATTTACATGCATAATGTAGATAGAAAAGATTTCAATTGTTTCTTGTCATTAGCTTGAAGGTTTTAGCAACTTATATTGTCCATTATAGTTGATTTCACTTCTAATAATCTCAATTAAAGATAATTTAACATACAAAAATTCACAAATATCTAGAAATTTTATAAGCTGGACCTAGGCAAGTCTAAACATTTTTATTTTTCTATTTTGTTTCTATCTTGAAGCCATTTACAATAGTCTTCCATCTACTATATGTTACATTTACCCATAAATTTCATTTCCATAAAGAGCTCACAATCTTATAAAATTCATTATCCTAGTAAAGCATCTCTGAATATTTTTTTTTATTTAGTCCAGCATAGTTAGATTACTTGCTAGTTATAACTATAAGGTGACATATCCCTATGTATTGTATGTTTAATATATATTTTTATCTACAAATGAAAAAAATCATTTTCAAAATAAGCATTTGTTTCAAATAATTTTTGATAGCTTGTGCATAATTTTTTTTGTTTTTTAAATTAAGCAGTGATTACAACGCTTTTTGCATCAAGGTTGGTTTAATTCTTTAGTTAAGTTTTAAGTAAAGAAAATTTGTCTGCACTGCAATGAGTTTGAGTTTTCTAAAAGAGCATCAATTGAGAATAAAGAATTAATGGGAGCAGCTCTAAATGACGCCATAAACAAAGTAGAAATTGTTCTACTTCTATTGGCATTGGAACTCTAGTAATAGTCACTGAGGCTCAACTAATTCGTCGTGGGGTAAATTTCTACCGCAATTTGTAAAGTGTGCAGGATAATTGATGGAGACCGGGCCGTACACATTGATTAGATGGTTCTCTAGGTTGGCCATTGAAGCTTATCTAATCGATGGGAAGTGTTTCAAAGAATTCAAGCCAATCTTCCTACTGTGGAGCTACAACTAAAACCGTTGATTAATTTACAACAACGGACCATTCGCTTGAAACATGGCCGTAGTGTATATCTGAGATCGTTCTTGTCAGGTATCCACACAGATTAAACGGGATCTCTCGGGTTTTACAGTCATGTCTCGAGATCCATTGATTCGCCGCTTCCAAGTTGAACGGCACGCTTATGAGCTGGCCGTTTTCTTTGAGCATTCCTTCGACAGGTTGGATCATGCACGCTGTACCAGTGCCAAATGCCTCCAGCAGATCACCTCTAGCAACAGCAGCTTCAATCTAAAACAAACACAAAGAATCTCTCAGAAGAGAAAGAAGAAAGGTTTTCCATACCTCTGGAAAGTTTAAAGGTCGCTCCGAGACTTTGAGGCCCGGTATGTTACTGGCGAGCTTGAGAACCGTGTCTCTGGTAACTCCTGGGAGAATAGTTCCATCGAGAGCTGGTGTAACGAGCTCCATTGCGCCACTCTTGGTTCCATCTCGCAGCAGAAAGAAGATGTTCATGGAGCCTGCTTCGCCAATTCTCTCCGTCCCTTCGAGCACGTATAGCACCTGTGAGCATCCTCGTTTGGCAGCCTCCAGCTGAGGGAGCACAGTCTGAGCGTAGTTGCCACCCAGCTTTCTATCACCAACACCACCTGGATATGCCCGGACGTTTCTTCGGTCCACAAAGAGTTTGACGGGCTTGAGACCGGTAGGAAAGTATGGACCGACTGGTGAGAGGACCACAAAGAGCATCCCTTCTCGTGGGGCCTGAATTCCCAAGCACGCCTGTGTCGCGATCATAGCCGGACGGATGTAAAGCGAGAAACCTTCTTTGCTGGGAATCCAATCGCGTTCTAGACGGACCAGCTCTTTGATGCAGTCAAGCAGCTCCATCTACACGAAGGAAGAAAGGAGAATTACGACGCCACATCGAAGCACGCCACATTACCTTGTCAAACTCCGGAAGAGCTAGGCGCTGAGCGGACTTGAGAAGCCTGTTCATGTGCATTAGAGGCCGGAAGAGGCGAATCCGACCGTCTTTATCCTTGTAGGCCTTCATGCCTTCGAAGCATTCTGTGGCGTAGTGCAAAACTTGTGCGCAAGGATGAAGCTTTAGGTGCTGCAGAGGATTTATTTCCGGGGAGAGCCATCCCTGCTGCTCGTTCCAAGAGATTTGGAGCATGTGGTCTGTTGTCTCGGCTCCAAATTTGAGAACGTTCGCATCAGCTACAGGCTTTACCTGTCCAAAAGCGTGAGCTTTTCCACTAAGATCAAGGAAAAAAAACAAAAAAAACTCACCTTGAGCCTGCCAGACCGATTCACCACCAAGTTATCAAAGCATATATCCGAGCTGGGAAGTTCAACCGGCTCGTGAGCCGAAGCAACAGCCTGCTGGAGAGGCAGCGACTTGAACTCGCTGTTGAAACTCGTCCACGAACTGATACTTCTCGCCTGGATCCAGCACCATCTCATTAACTTCGTCCTCGGGAGCCTCTCCATCACTTGAGCTCAAGCTCCCCTCGACCGTGTCGTCCAAAGCTTGTCCAAAGCATCAGTGATGTGGAAGATGTGCACGATGACAAGGAGCTCATTCCAAGGTCGCCTGCTTGTAACACTGCGCCGGTGGCACATTTCATACCTGTCACCGTCACACTTGTAGAGCCCCAACCAAACTCTTTACAGTTTAAGAGTCAGAAACCTCATGCTTACCATGTGAGAGGACGATAGATCCTCCAGCTCCTTGTGACCAAGACCAAATCTAATGCTCTTCCCTTTTTCTTTCCGGCTTCTGCGTTCCTGCGGCCAATCCATGGCAGTGATAACAACCCGTCTCCTGTCCCTGGTCCTTCTCAGTGCCATCCTCCTCTCTGGCTTTCACTCGAGAAGGACAAGTTTGCTCCCCAAACTCTTGAGGACTTCTTCCCTGGAATCGCGCACCTGTATTGCGGAAGACCCGAGCGTCTTCCCTGTAATCTCCACCAGCTGTACGAGCTGCCGAGAGGACACAGCCTCGAAGAAGCGTGTCCAAACTCAAGCGCTCCTGACGTGACTTTACACGGCAAAGAGAGTTGAAAACGTAACTGGATGTTATTTGGAAAGAATAAAAAAAATACCTTATTGTGAACAAGAGTTCCACGAAAATCAATGCATGAACGATGCCTGGTACGCCGGTGGCGGCGGCGGCAACGAGTTCCTGAGGTTTCCAAAGCTGGGGTAAGTGTTCGTCGGGGTGGTGGAGTAGCCAGGAGCGCCGTAGATGGAGCCGTCGGCGGGGGAGTAGATGTAGGAATTCGGTGGCAAGCTCGACAGTGACACTGCACTCCGGCTGCCTGGTGCGTACGACGGCATGTAGCCACCCTGGTTTTGCCTCTCGAACGCAACCGGTGACACGAACTGGTAGCCCGACACGCTGGGTCCGGGCGGGACGTAGCCGCCTCTCTCTGGATTCCTGTCTGGGTTCCGGTACGAGTATCCGCCGTTGTTGCTGCCACGAGGCCGCTTCGACTGGCCCTTCATTGAGCCGCCCGTTCTCTTCTTGTCAAGCTTGGCTTTCTCGAGCTGGAAAATCCGCTTGTGAAGAGGAGACGATGGGAAGTCCGCCTCAAGGTTGTACTCTTCAATGCATTTCAGCACGGACCTTGTCGCAGAGAGTTCCTTCATCATGGAATCGTTCTGGAAAAAGTGGAGCGTCAGCTCTAACCAAACTGGCTTTACAAAGAGAATCATCGTGTACCTGAGCAGCGGCTGGGCTGTGGCCTGACTTAAGCATCGAGTGGGCAATCCTTCGAGCATCCTTGAGGTAATTCTTCAACAGTGACACTGGCTGGATGCGGTCCATGATGCCAAACTCCTTTGCCATCGACAGCGCCTCGATCGGCTTCCCATCCTCGACCAGCTTGTCAACGATAGCTGCAAAAGAAAAAACTCTTTAGAAACTCCACACTCAAGCCATCACCGATACACGCGGAAGTGGTACGCTCATTAAAGTTACCACAGAAACTGGTAACTCCCAGACAGCCAGCCAGCCAGAAGCAGCAAACACACGGCAGTTTGGCTTGCGAGAAAACCAAACGCAAGAAACAAACGACACCAACCTGGTATCCTGGCTGACAAGCCGATTGCTCTACACAGAGCGGGAGTCTTCTTACGCCGGGCAATAGCTGATATCAGCCCACACAGCTCTTCCTCATCGTACTCCGAAGAGATACCAAATGTCGCCAGTAACTGCAGGAAAGCCTGGGCATCCAAAGAGCTGCCCCCGGCAGCGTCTTTCTGGACGTCCATCCTAGACCTCCACTTTTCGGCCATATCCTTGGCGACCTCCTTGACATGAGAAGGCACGACGGGGTGGTCTACACCCAGCACCGGATCGGCCAACACTACTTGCAAACACTCCAGGAGAAGGATGCAAGCCCGGCGACTGGCCGAGGCGTCGCTAGCCTTCCTCGTGCTGCTACTCGGGTCTGGGAGATAAGCCTCGAGAGCCACCACCACCATGCGTGCTGGATCCACAGCACACTTAAGAGCGCCGGGAAGCTCGTGGCGCAAGCTAGCAAACTCTTTCCGGTGTTCCACAATGAACCTTCTAAGCCCATCCCCGTCCATGGTCTCGCACAGTGCCTTAAGTTCTGGACGGACACTCACCTCTCCACTGGCGCCACTCAAGCTCAACCCAACCACGGCCCTTCCATCGATCAGCTCATCGTCGTGGCTGGGGCTCTCTTGCGGTATGTTGAGATCCAAGTCCATCGACTGAGAGATGGAGGAGGGAACAGCGTCGATCAGAGTAAAGCTCTCTTGCGCTGCCACTGCCGCTGCGAGCAGATCTGCCTCCTCCACCATTGATTCCTTTTTCACTACCACAACCTTTGGAGCTCGCTCCTCCTGTTCCCTGGCCGAAATCTCTTGCTCTCTCCGCTCGACGAGCCGCTCGCGCTCGTCCAGGGCGATCTGGAGCTCCCGGGCCCTCTCCTGGAAGGATTTCTCCCTCGCGGCCAGATCGTCATACCTCTTCTGGACATCTCTCTCCGTCTCGGCAAGCATCTCGTCTAGCTCCTTCCACTCTGACACACACCTGGAGAGGATTTGCCGCTCCTTGTCGAGATCCAGGAACGCGCGCTGGAGCCGCTCCCTCCTCGCCGCCATCGCCTCCATATCCACGAGCATAAGGGAATTGCCCTAACAAGCTAACAAGAAAAGGTTGTGGGTGTCTTAATTTATGCGATCCGACGGCCACGAAAAAGGCGATCACATCGACGGCTCAGGTTGAATTTACGAATTTAGGTTTATCCGCTCTCTCGATTTTTATGGCGCTAGGCTCCAGGGTTTTGGGCAGTGGTCGCGGATTTCTCTCCACATTCTCTTTGAAAAGGCAATCCTATTGCCAGGCATCTCGCTCCGACGAAGCGACTCCATCGATCTCTCCGTGTGGAGCTCCAAATCATGGAAGGTTTGAGGACCTCTCGAGGAGAAGAAAGCCAATGTGCTTGTACTTCACGCAAAATCGTTGCCAGTATGTAAGGTTTTGTGTTCTTGGTGGGAAGTCTAAATTTTTTTTGTTTTTGGACAAGATGGATAGCCCAGAACACCTGGAGAAATTTTCTCACACATTCCCGGAGCTCGATCCCGTGGTTTTGGACGCTGCCCGGCCTCTACCACGCCAACCATTCGACAAATTTCTCGTGCTTGACTTGGAAGGCAAGGTCGAGATTCTAGAGTTTCCAGTAGTTTTGCTGGATGCGAAAACACTCACGGTGGTGGACAGGTTTCACAGGTGAGAAAAAGTTTTTCATTCTTTGTCTTCGACTTTTTTTTTCCTTCTCCAGATTCGTGAGGCCTTGCGAGCTCAAGGGTTCCCGGTTGCAAGCTTACATTGCTGGAAAGTATGGACGCTGGAAATTGGAGAGGTTTGCGTTGTGTGCTATAAGTACTTCACTTTCATATGGATCTTCACAGGCTTTGGGAGGATACAGCCATTCCTTTCCAAGAAACACTCCTCGCGTTTGAGGACTGGCTGGAGCAGCATTCTTTGCGTGATCCTGAGAGCCATTTACTCAAGAATTCTGCCTTTGTCACCTGGTAATAGACACAGTCCCATTTAAGCTTTCGATCACGCTCTGATTTTCGAGTTTCATTTTCCCAGTGGAAACTGGGACATCAAGACAAAGATTCCAGAGCAATGCATCACGTCGGGGATTCCATTGCCGAGCTATTTCTGCGAATGGATAAACCTGAAGGACATTTTCCTCAACTTTTACAACAAACGGGCAAGAGCTAAGTCTAAAGTTTGAGCAGCCATTGTCAAGTCCTTTCTTGTGGAGCAGGCTCCGGGGATGCTGTCCATGATGAGAAGCTTGGACATGAGAGTTCAAGGCTCGCATCACTTGGGACTGGACGATGCGCACAACATAGCTCGAATCGTTCAAAAGATGGAGTCGGACGGAGCTGTTCTATCCATCACTGCCAAAAGGCGAGGCAATCGAGTAGAGTTTTTGTTTCAAAATAGAGTCTGACAAATAAGAGTTCCACCATCTTGCAATCTATGGTGGTGATCAATTTATTGACTTTCTAACGCCGTTGTACCGCCTGCTACGCGGACCTGGGTTTGATCTGAACGGTGAAATTCGAAAAAACACAGTGATTTGTTTGAGCCTATCAGCTGGCACAGTTTGTCATAGACTCTTAAAATGATCATTTTTTAAAATTATTTTTAATAAACTATCAGCTAGAAAATGTTAAACAAGTTTAGATGTTATATTATGCAATTATGATTTATCTAACTTTTTTGAGTGTTTGATAGTTAAATTACTAAATTATCTCTTATAAAATTAACTATATTATTTGTATATTCATATATATATATATAAATTTTTTTAAAAATATGTATGTATTTGTAATATATAAAGAAATACATACTCAATTTCTTTTGATATAAATGTTGTGTAAATAGATTTTTTGATAGCAATTTTGTTTCTTACTATTTTCAATAAATATGTCCAGATTTAAATTATTTTATTTAATTGTCATAAAACATACATTTGTAAAATAAAAATCTATATCTCCATCAAATTTTTTAATATTTGTTATCATATATCATATACACAAATTTTACATAAGATGATTTAACTTTAAAACTTGTTATATCTCAAAGTATGATTGAAAAGAATCATTTATAAAATAAAGATAAATTGATAAATTAATTAACTAGCTCAACAAGCTTTAAACACTTAATGATTGTACCCAAATAACAATTAAAAATAATTTAAAATTAATAATTAGTTAGCAATATAGGATTTTGATTTGGATGTGAGTAAAAAATAAATTCTAACATCAATTGTTATTTTACAAATAATACTAAAAATATTTAGTATTTGATATTGAAAACACAAATATAATATTTATAAATTTACTATTTTAATTCTTAGGGCATTTGCAATGGCGCTTCTGGGCCTCTCCACGCTAACTCACAAGCAGGATGTGGATGCTATGATCCGGGACACCCTAGACAAAGTGTTGGTGCTCAGATTTGGGCGCGCCACGGATCCCCTGTGCATGCAGCTGGACGAGACAGTGAGTGATTAGTTTCGCACTGCAATCTCACTTTCTTGGCTGCTCTTCTTCTTCAGCTTGGCAAAAGTTCGCGGGAGCTGTCCAAATTCGCAAGCATTGCGCTCGTGGACGTCGACGCACAAGAGATCCAAGTCTATCTTCACTATTTCGACATTACGCTCATTCCAGCGACCGTCTTCTTCTTCAACTCCCAGCACATGAAAATGGATTCCGGGTAAGTAAATGCTTCGCTACCAGGTTCTTACCACAAGTTCGTCTTGTCCAGGACACCCGATCACACCAAATGGATTGGCGCCTTCCACAGCAAACAGGATTTCATCGATGTTGTAGAGGTACTGAAAAGAAAGATAAATCGCATTTGCTTGATGTATTGTAATTACCAGACCATCTACAAAGGCGCCATGCGCGGAAAGCTCATCGTCAATTGTCCATTACCGGCGGACAGAGTTCCCAAGTTTGAGCTCCTGTACAAGGATATCTAAAGTGAGCTCCAAAAACGTCTATAATCTTACCTCTGGATCTTCAGTGTAGCTCCTCGCCTTTGCTGGGAAGAACTGAGCTGCGTTGGACTGAAAGGAGCCAACGAGAGTCGTCCAGGAAACGAAGTCCGACTTGAAAGGCATTCGAAAGATGAGCTCCCGAGCGTCTCTAAACTGGCCAGCCCTCCCGAGAACGTCCACAAGGCACGCAAAGTGCTCCCTCGCACAAACGATGCCAAAGTCGTGAGTGGCCGAGCACAGGTACTGCAGGCCTCTCTTCACCAGGCCAACATGGCTGCACGCCGCCATAACGCTCTGCAAGGATATCTCGTTGGGCTTGAGTCCCTCGAGCAACATCTCGTGGAAAAGCTGGATGGCGATCCTCCCTCGGCCAGTTCTCGAGTAGCCGGAAATGACCGCGTTCCAGGGGACTGTATCTTGCTCGGGGATGCCATCGAAGAGAGCTCGGGCCTCGCTGATTCTGCCAGTTTGAGCGTAAGCTCCGACCATGGCGGTCCAGGAAACGATGTTCTTCTCCGGCATAACGTCGAACAAGCTCCTGGCCTCGTCCAGATAACCGTGCTGGGCGTAGGCGATGACCAAGCTAGTGGAAGAGACGCTGTCGTGGAAAGGCATCCTGTCGTGCATAAACTTGGCCTGCTCGAGGTACCCGTCGCGGGCATACGCCTGGAAGATCGCAGTCCACGACTCCACCGTGTGCTCTTGGAGGTTGCCAAACATGTCTTGAGCTTCCCGGAGGTGACCCTTTCGGATGTAAGCCACGGCCATGGAGCAGCAGCTCACCATGTCCCAGCACGGCATCACGTCGAAGACGCTCTTGGAGTCCTCGAGAAGACCCCTCTCGTTGTAAGCACTGACCATGATCGTGAATGGAACGATGCTCGTCACCGGCATTGCGTCGAAGATCTCCTTGGCTCTTTCCAGGTGCCCGTTTTGAGCGTAGCCGGTCATCAGCGTCGCCCAGGAGAGAACGTCATACTGCGGCATCCCGTCGAAGATCTTCTGAGCGCTGTTCAGCTGCTGAGTCTCGGCGTAGCCTTGCAGCAGAGCAGTCCAGCACACGACGTTCCGCTCGGGCATTCCGTCGAACAGATGCTGAGCTTGGCTGATTTCCCCAGCTTGAGCATACGCTTGAACCATCGTCGTCCACGAAACAATATCCTGTACTGGCATGCCGTCAAAGATGCTACGAGCCTCTTCCAGGTAGCCATTCTCGGCATAAGTTCTCAGCATAGCCGTCAGAGCCACCATGTCACAGCTTGGCATTCGCTCGAACAGGCACCTCGCTTCGTCCAGATACCCGTTCTGGGTGTATGCCGATAGCATCGTCGTCCACGTTACCAGGTTCCGGTCGGGCATCCTGTGGAAGATCCTCTCGGCGTCTCTGATCCTCCTGTGCCTGATATAACCCGAGAGCATTGACGTCCAGGATACTACGCTCTTGTCGCCCATCGAGTCGAAAACCGCCTCCGCCTGGTCGATCTGCCCGTTGCTGGCATAAGCTGCGATGAGCATGTTGCACGAGAACTCGTTGGGCCGAGCAATGGAGTCGAACGTTCTGCGAGCCTCCGTAGTACTTCCGCATTTTCCATACATCTGGACGAGTAAGTTGGCGAGGAAAGTATTGTCGCGGTACCTGCTGTGCCGGATCTGATCGTGGATGAGTCGCCCCTTGACCAGATCTTTGGAGTCGGAGCAGACTTTCAAGAGCCTAGCAAACTGCGAGTCGTCAAGTTCTTCCACAGCTCGAGATGGAGTTCTCGATGGAGTTCTCGATGGTAAGACCACTCGGCTTTGTGCCATTCCATAACTTAGCTAGAGACCTGAAATTAAGCGCAATATAAAATCCAATAGTAATAAGAATTCCATCAACCTCAACTCTCGGATGGTCCCTGAAAAGAAGCTTGCCAAAAACCAGCAAGGGCACTGCCAAACACGGAGTGACAGACGCTGGAAATTGCACAAGGGACAGCAGTCAATGGACTGGTAAAGTGCTGGTTTGCAAGAACCACTCCCAGTACCGAGTTCTGAAGGTAGACCAATGTTAGTGAGAGTGCAACGAAGAAGCACTGCTGACTTGCCTGCATGCCAACCTCGATTGATATTGTCCGAGCTGTGGATTCGCTAAACCTTATGACTTTGGCAGCTAGATATCCAAGCAAAAATCCAGATGCATGCAGCATTGCGACCGCCACGAAAATCTGAGCACCCGTGGTGGTGATTGCTGCAGCACTCTGCGCGATTGCACCGGCACAAACTGCAGCAATCGTAACCACTGCAACTGTTGGAGCTAAGGGCGATAGAATCCGAACGAGTCCAGGGAGATAGTGCGCCATCCCAGCTCCTGCCAGGACCGGCAAAAGTACCACCTACAATAGGCAAATTGTTTCAAAAAGTTCGGAACTGAAAAACTCGTTACCTGCAATGTTGACAACACGAGAGCGTTTGCATCAACAGCGACGTATTGTCCAGCGAGCTTGGCCGTCAAGAGAGGCGTCATTACCTGTTATAAAGAAACAAATAAGCATCTACGATCACCAAAGCAAATGTTATATATTCACAAACCACTGCTAAGAATGTGCTGATCGCTGTCATAATGACTGAAAGCGCAACATTGCCCCTGTATAATCCAGTGGAAGACCAGTACTTTAGCAAGTAGAAAATGGAAGAACAAAAGAAAGGATGCAACGAATTTTACCTTGCAAGGTATGTAACAACGTTACTCGCAGTTCCTGTATGAACAAGTTACACATTTGCAAGTATGAAATGAAGGAAAAAAAAACCTCCTGGGCAGCAAGATACTAGCACGAGACCCGCGGCATAGTGAGATGGCAATCCCAGAACACGAGCTACGGTAGCTCCTGTTAGTGGCATGATCTAACGAAGATGAAAAAAAAAAACCAACAAAATTTTAAGAATAGAGAAGAACATCGAAACTCTCAAACCGTGTATTGCAAGAACACTCCAGCAGCAACTTCCCGTGGCATCGACAAGGCTCCTTTGAGATCATCGATCGAAAGAGTCATTCCCATTCCTGTGATCCAAGTCATTAATTTTAACACTGGGAAAGTTTCCTTTAATACGTACCAAGCATCGTGATCGTGATCCCGACCATCTGGAGCTGCCCCTTGATCCACAAGAACGCGCTCGGCCTGACCAATGCCGCCACACAGGCGATCCCGACCCAGACCGGGAACAAGGACGAGAGCACACCTCCAATGGCTTCAAGCCTTTGGATCCACACGCCATCGCCCTCTTCCACGGGCGGATCTCCAAAACTCCTGGCCGCGGGAACTGCGGGATCTGATCGCGACCGATTCTCGGTGAAGCTCCGAGATTTGTGCGAGTGGAATATGAGCCCGTTCTTGCTGCTATAGAGAGATCTTGGAGCCGATATCGAAGAAATACGGGCTCGATCCCGTAATATCACCGCTCCAGCAGAGAAACAAGCGCTTGCCGCCATGAAAATGGAAAAACTATCGAGGGATCACAGATCCCGAGCCTCGGGAAGATTTTTAGAGATCAGCTGCCACAAGATCCAGGAGGACGAGGAGAGGATAGACATGACCACCAGGAAGTACTTGATGCAGCACGGGCAACTACAGCACGGACAGGGCCTCTTCTCCTCTACTCTCGCCATACCCCTCAAGAACCCTAAAACAAAGTTTTGGGGGAAGTTCTGAAATTCCTCATCTAAATCTCCGCATTTTCTTCCTACTCTAGGTGCTCAGCCGCGCCTTGCGAGCTTCCTCTGCCTTATCCATGTAATCCTGATGACTGGAATGCTTCACACCTGATAGAAATGGGATAGTGGCATCAATCGGTCGATCAAATCAGAGAAGAGAACGAACCTCTGGTCATGAAGTACCAGGGAATGTAGCCCACTCCCAAGATCGTCACGACACCGATGAAGACGTGCTTGTTGTCACCGCTGTAGAGGAATCGGCGGACCCATGGCTCCATCACAACAAACCAGATTAGGGTTCTTGCTAAAACCCTGGGTACGGACAACGTACGGACGACAAACCAGATTAGGGTTCTTTGGTACGGTATGTTCTTAGTCGTGTGGGGTGTTACAATGGACGTGGTGTACGATAACGCTGGATCGCACGGAGCCTCCAATTGGACTGGACGGGCGCTTAGCAGCACCGGAGACGCAGTTTGATGGGCAGACGTTGTCGCCGATGAGCGATCGACCACTCGAGAAGAAGTAGAGGAATTGTTCCCAAGTGATGGCCCCGACTCCTGCCAATTTTGAGATGAGAATCAAAAATCGTCCACGGAAAATTGGAAGAACTACTCTTACCAGTGGAGTCGATCCTGTTGAAGACGCTTTCGAATGATTCTCTACGGCCGTCTTTGCCTTTGGCTCTAGACAATTGCATGAATGCGGCTATCTGGAATGAAATGCTTCAGCTCTCGAGAGAAAGGAGTAGCAACTTACGTCCTTGTCGCGCTTCATCGCGGCCATGAGTTCCTTCTTAGTGATGTTTCTGTCAGCAGCGTTTGAGATTCTCTCCTGTTAAAAAAATAGCGTACCCAGTGTTTTCATAGTCGATCTTTGTAAACATCTCCCACAGTCGCCGATACTCTTTCACGGAGATTCCAGCAGCTCCGGCGAGAGTTCTGATGTACGAAAGCTCCCTTGCATTCTTGCTGGCCCTTCTTACCAACGCAAACGCAGTGCTTAGCTGCTCCAAGGCCCTGAGCACAGAAGGAAACTCGCAGTTAAACAAAATCTGGCAGCTCTAGAAACAATTCCGACATTTGTGTTACCGCTTTTACGTAGTTAAGGATGCCGAGGAGAACGATTGACAAACATACTTTGCATGGAACGTGAGGCAGCTGTGGAGGAACTGCTCGACAAGTTGCTGTAAATCCACGAAGAAATGTTAAGAGAGCATGAAAGAGTTTCAATATCAAAACTTACGTGGTAAGGCTCGAAAGGATCTCCCAAATCTCCCGGCCAGCGCGGTTGCCAGCCATCGTTCACGCTTTTTATCACAGCCTTGCAGTCCACTCGCCTGTTACAGCCAACTGGAGGCTCCGGGGCCGCTGCCACTCTCGGTACGACCCCTCGAGAACCAAATAGAAGAATCGAAGCTTCAATGGCTGCTTTGTTTCGCTCAGTCTGCAAAATGAGAAAGATGAAAAATGCATCGTAAGAATTTTTTTCCTCTGCAAGATCCATTCTCACCATGAAACATCGACCTTCTTCCGCTGATAGAACAGCATCCGCAGCGCTATAGAGGCTAGCGACTTGTTCCTCTAAAATCACAAAGCACAGTAAGAAACTTACGAAAAAAAAGCAAGAAAAATTCCAACTCACGATGACACTGGAATGTATCGATGTCATTCGACTCATTCAAGCTCTGCTCTAGGCGAGCGCACGCTTGAATCGCTCTCGAGACATCAATGTCGTAGCGCTTCACGCCTGTATACAAGGCGCAATCTCCAATCCTAGCTCGAATCGATCAGAATCAAACTTACGCCGCATTTCAGTCGCCCACGTCTTGAGCGCGTAGCGCAGCGCCCGGACATGGCTGCTCCGCTGGAACTGGGGATCCCTCCACACGGCGCAATCGGCGATTAGGGCTCGCCCTAGCTCTTCGCACGCCATGAGCTACCTTCTACACTAGCTAGTATTAAAAATCCAGCACCGAAGAACACGGAGAAAACGGTTTGTACAGCGGACGTGGCAAAAACTCGAATATTTTGAGGCATATTCTCCATTCAAATTTTTCTAGAGGTCGACTGGCCTTGGCTCTGGCTTTCTTATATGCCGGAACGAAGCTCCAGGCTCGGTGGGCTTGAATGGTGGATGGGCTCCTCCGAATGGTTTTGGGAGGCCATAGTTATCAACTGGAATGTAAGCGTTTGGCCTTGGCTCGGCAGTAGATCTGCGAGAGAAGGAAACTCGTAAGAACTCAAGACAAACAAGAGATCAAGAGCTTGCCTTCGTTCTCCAAATTCCGAGTCGTCCCGGCTGAATCCACACGCCGAGAACGAGCGCCTCTGCATATGGTGCCATTCTCTCTCGCAATCCGCGGTTGGAGGCTGGAGAAAAGGAAAGAACAGTTGGAGAAAACTGGAAGAACAGTGTTTCTCACCTCTCCATTAGCTAGACGAGCCGAGGCTTCCAAAAGGACGGCCTCCAGACACTCTTTCTCTTGCTTCAAACTCATGGCTGTTGCCTGCACAAAACACAAATAACTCGATGAGACGATGAACTAGAAATGGAAAACTTGAATCTACTGACTTGTGTTAGCGATAGCTCCGAAACGGTGGCCATCATTTGCGTGGTGACATGTCGAAGCTGTCGCTGGAACCGGCTCATCTTTGAGACAGTTTCCACGGCGTCGGCATAGCCATCAGCCGCCTGTTTTTTCAGGTCCTCGGCCAGAGCCGTCACCTGTGAAACAGCCACACGTAGAAATCAAAGTCGATATCAACAGATAGAGAATTACCTCCTCCAAGACAAGGTTTTTCTCCAAGGATTGGTCGCCTTTCCGGTGGAGGAAGAACTCCAATGCTGTGAGCTTCGCCATGAGCTCGTTTGCCGTCGGGTCGGTGCCTTCTAGCAGCCTCCAGTGAGCTTTGTTCTCCGGATTTTCTACCAGCTTAGACAGCCTCTCGCCTTCTTGCACGGTTAATCTCAACTGGAGTAATGACGCATAAGCGAATGCGAGGAAAGAGAAGACAAAGCATGACATACTTGAATTTTGACGTTCTTGATCTCCTTGCGTATTTCCACCGCATTTGGAAGAGACTTGTAGCAGAGAAGAATATATCTTTCAAGGTTGATGAGCTCCGGCTTGAGTAAGGCAATTTCGTTTTCTCGTTTCAAAAGTTCAATCTCTGAATGTTTTAGAAGCTCATCCTGCATCGAGACGAACACTTAAACCACGAAAAACGATATAATTCTCGACAACAAACCTGGGCGTGAGACTTCTCATAAAGGATACAAAGCTCATCGTTGCGATCTATGAGAGATATACCAGTGTGGTTTCGGCTTAAAACCGCATGTTCATACTGTTTTCTGAACGATTCCATGTCCTTTTCGGCGTTCCGAAGGAGACCATTTAGCTTGTCAATTTCTATCATGTGCTCATCCGCCATTTCCTGGCCGATGAGCCTGAGTTAGTTCGACAAAGAAGCTGTGAAAGGAAGTAATCACCTTCTTCTTTTGCAGTGCAATGTGGCACTGCGTAATCTCTGACCGAAGAAGAAAACGGTGTTGAACAATGATGGCAAACTCTTTCCTCATCTTCGTCAAGACCTTATCTTTGTACAAAACCTCGTTCTGCAGCATGTTTACTTCGACCTCCAGCATCCCCATCTTGTCCTTGAGCTCGAGAATTGTGAGATTGCTTAACTAAAAACATCGACACAAGTCAGCAGTGATATCTCTACCACATAACAACACAGACCTGCATCAGTTTGACAGACTTATTCCGTTGGCTTCTAAGAAGATTATACACATTGAAGAACTTGGCATAGGTGTCACAGATATCCTTTTCCTTCTTTTGTAGAAATGCGATAGTAATGTCTGAGACCCGAATTCTTTCTCTGGCTTCTTTTAGTTGTTGAACCTGCAAAATCACAAACAACGTGAGGAAAACCGGGGGAAACTAGCTCGCATTACCTTCAAAGAAAGTGTACGACAAATATTTTCACGCATGCTCGCAAGCTCTCCCGCTTGTTGTTGCCGTTCGTAGTCAAGACTAATGGATCTATAAACCTCCCTTTCGAGCTCCGTTGCCTGCATTACGCGCCGTAACTCTGCCGAAAGAAATCAAGGCTTACCTTTTGATGACCCTCGCGTAGTTGCGCAACCATTTCCTTGCCAACTCCTTTCAACTCGGTGTACATACGCATTCTACCATCAATGTCTTTCTTAATCTCTAACACTGTGGTATGCACTTTCTTTCTTTCGTTTTCAACTTGCATAAGCTAAGAACTTGGCCGCAGTTAGTCGCAAAAAGGAAAAGATAGAAGGCTATACCTGCATATTTATGTTGCTCTTGACGGCTCCAAAGGATGGAAGGGTATCCTGTATTTGCTTGAGCACATTTTCTGTGTGTTTGACCTTCTTTGTTATCTTATCCTTGTCGGTGGTACGAGTGACGAGCCTCTCCTGCTCCACTTTGTGATCTGTTTGCAGGGCTTTCAATTGCATATCCAAAGTCACCTGCATCACGAGAAACGGACCTTTTTTTTCCGGGAAGTCATTTATGAATTCTTACTCGATCCGCAAGATATTGATCGGCATCTAGACTATGAAGCTCAAGCTCCTTCTTCATCTCCGCAACTGATTGCTCCTATAGCAAAAAGCAGTAGTTATTAGGCGTTGACGACAGGATCGTAAAATCGTACCTTCTGTTCAGTCAGTTGCCGAACCTTTTCCAGTTCAACCGCAAGCCTTGCATGTTCTTCAGTAGTTTCTCTCATGTTTTGATTTAGCTTTTCAATATGTGTTTCGAGTTCCTTGATCTGCGAAGGACGCATGTAATTTGTCATGTATTTGTCAGTTTTGCGACCATGATAACACCTTCTCGCTGTAATTTTGATCCTGAGTGGTGAGCCCTTTGACTCCATTTGAGAGAACATCTGCCTGTTACCACAATCCACTTAACCAGAAAAATCGCAAGAAGAAAACTTGCCTGCTTTTTAAGCTTCTCTGGAACTCCATCGTATGTCGTCAGAGTTTGAAACTCTCCTCTTCTATGAACGGTAAGACCTTGCATGTCGGTCGCCAGGACCTCAAGACGCGCTTGAATTTCAGCGCTCTGCCAAAAATGTGGTCGCGTGTGATGGGTGGAGCCTATAAAAACAATTGAGCAATCTGAAAACTTACACAGGAGAGGTTTTAAGTTGTAAGAACGATTATACCTCCTTCTTTAGTTCCTCAATTTTTGCAATAGAATCACCGTGCTGGCTATGCAAATCGCTAATATCCATCTGTATGGATCACAAAACTCAGAGATAACGAAGGAGGCAGATTACCAAATGTATCTATCACCTTCAGTTGAAGCAACGTTGGCTGTAGAGCCATATCATACTCATGTTCTATCTCTTCGATCCTCTTCTGAAATTCTTCTTGCGCCCTTCTAAGATCCGTTTCTTCAGCCTGCAATGCCAAGTCCCTCTCCCTGCGGCAAAGTTGGTTGTCTAGCTAGGAAGATAAAAACATAGACAAAGAACCATACTTTACCTGCATGCCAGTGCTTCTGATTCCGCTTGCTCCGAGTCCTCACGAAGCATGTCGAGAGCAGCTTCATCTTCCTGGGCGTCGACCAAAACTTTCTCCAGTTCAATCTTCTCCACCTACAAAAGAGAGGAAGATGTCACCGCTAGAGAAAAACAATGCAAGGCAAAAGAGAAAACCAAAGAGTTTCCTTACATTAAACTTGCGAGTGAGCTCCTCCCTTTCTTCAAACAATTTCCTAGTGTTTGCTATACTTTCCTTGAGACTCTTGTGGAGTTCCTCATACCTGCATTGCAAATTCTATCGATCCAACGCTAAAAAAGAGGAAAAATCTCCTCACCTCTGCCTCGCGAAAGCCGCCTTGGCGCCGGTGATGTTCCCCTTGCGCACCAATTCATCAAGCTTCAAGAGCGCGCTAAGATCCGGCAACACGACCAACTCGATCCCTTCCTCCTCCGCCATTTCCCCTCTCAGAGAATTTTCTTCTTTTTCGTATTTTCAAGCCCTAAAGATCTCAACGGATTATCATTCGCCACGTGTCAAGAGAATAATTAGCCAAATAAACGTCGTTAACTTTAATTAACATCGATTAACATTATTTCGCATTGACAAGCTTTTCTATGGATTCTTTCCAGACCCTCGCTTGTCCCTTTGTATCCTCCAGATTATAAGTCCGCTTTGGCTGCTCGAGAAAACCACAGCATCGCATTAGAGATGGAGAAAGAAAACGAGACTTACCGTGCATATACAAAACTTGAGATCGTTCTCCACTCTAACATAAATATCCCGCGACCATGGAACCTCTCCCTTGAAAACAAGTTTGATCGGGTGGACGTAGAACAGCCTCGGCCTGTCAGTGAGGATCAGCTGTCTCTTCTTGACCGAGAGCTTTCGAAACTTCCGGACGCGCGAACTGGCCAAGATGGTTTCACCCTCGAATAGAAACTTCTGCCTACAGGGAACTCGGGTCAGCTACAATTGAAACCAAAAAAATCGACTTGGAGAGAATTGTGAGAACTAACCATGGTTCGTGAACGTTCTCGTCGAGAAGTCTTGCAGCAGAAGCAAGCACGGCGCTGGGACTCGATGGCTCATTACTGCTGGACATGGGACTCGAAGCGTCCGAAACGTCTAGCCTCGAGACCCGGCCTCCCAGATGAGCTAGATCCCAGTCCGAGTTTTCTGAATCATCACTCTCAGCTCCATTTCCCCCACCCTTTAAACAAGTGCGTCAATGTTTTCGCGTCATCAACAACAAAGTCGAGTTCGAACATAAGCCAACAAATAACTGACACAATGCTGCCTGTAGATCACCTGAGACGATGGCGATGGAGCAAGCCCGGGTGCGGCCGACTGCCTGAGTTTAAGCCACTCAATCCCGCTGAAAAAAGCATGGCTTTTCAACGCTGCATAGCCCGCTGGGCCAGCTCCGGGCCTTTTGTCAGGTTCAAGGTTCTGGAAAGAACAATCAAAATGTGTCCTTTCCACTCCACAAAGAAATTATCATCGACTTACCAGCAACTTATTGATAAGTTCTTTGGCTGCGGACGGGAAGTGAGACGGTATGACAAGGTCTTTCGCCAAAACCTTTTGAAACGTGAGGTATTCGCTCCCGCCTTTGAAAGGAGGCCTCCCTTCTAGCATTTGGTATATAATACATCCCAAGGCCCATAAGTCTGCCCTGCAAACCGGCTGCTTATTAAACGGAAGAACCAAAAAGAAATCCCATCACACATACCCAATAGTAACGGGATGGCCATTCAAAACTTCTGGAGAAACGTACTCCGCAGTGCCAACAAACGTACAGCTTTTGTCATCTGTGAAACGAAAATGCACACTAAACGACACGAGGAAAGAACACGAGAACGAGAGATATTTAACCTGCTTGCGCGTCGCTGAGACCATTCTGGAGGGGTGTTGTCACCTTCGCACTGCCAAAGTCTGCCACCTTTATATGCCCATCAGCAGTCAGGAGTAAATTTTCTGGCTGGCCAATGTCGATATCAAAACGACCGTCAGGATCATATAGTGAAAAAAAAACGTAATCGACCATCTCCTCTGCTGGCAGCAGCAAGAGAATTGTACAGAACAACAGCCAAGAAAGGAATACCTTGAGATCCCGATGAATCAATCCTTGGCCGTGAATATATTCCAAAACATCAACAATCTCCGCAGCATAGAAACGAGCTTCTTCGAGAGACAAACGACCTTTCTGCGCGTGAAAAGAGACATGTCACCAAAACATGTCAACGACCAGGAGTAAATGGCCCACCCTTCTTATCTGATCGAAGAGCTCTCCTCCATGACAGCACTCCAGTCCCATATCTAGATTTTCATGTATCAGCGAAAGCAACAAACGAAGAAAGGAATTACTTACAGAGATTGTGAGTATCCTGAAACGTGAAAAACAAACGAACCACACCAGGATGATCCAGATGATCCAGAATAAGCCGCTCCATCTTCACATACGCGACCTTGTTCTCCTTGGTGATGTGCTTCTTGTCCATGATCTTGAGCGCAAACTCAGCTCCAGAATCTTTTTTCTTAGCTCTCACAACCTGAAACAAGGGGAGAAAGATGAAAAATGGAAAAATGCAGCTAGAATTCGCCACCTTGGAGTAGGATCCCATGCCCAGCAGCCTGCCATAGGCGAAATCCTGGTAAGTGTATGGCTGCTGAGGAGCCCTAAACGTGAGCTTGCTCCCGGGTTTGCACGAGGAGGCCGTGGAAGGCGCGCATTCTTCCTCGCCCGCCGCCATCTCCACACGCTGGATCACCCCCTCCTCGGCATTCCCATCGGCGCGACCGCCATCGCGAAATATTCCCACGCGCTTCTTCTTCCTCTAACCTATAAACCCTAATCAGTCGCGTCCGTTGAAACGCATTGGTTTGGCGGCCTTGCCACATAGGCTTTCTTTCTCTCACAGTAATCCGCGTCTAGACGCTATCGCGGCCAAGAATTCTCCTCTCCTCCCAGGGCGCCCAGATCTTGGAGTGGCGATAAGGTATTATCCTTCTCTAGCAGCGATTGGAACGGCGGCGCGGCGATCGATCGATCGATCGCTGGGAAAAGATCGGGATTAGTCTTTCCAGCTCGGCGGCGGCAGTGGATTGGAGGGAAATTTCCTGTCCCAGGGGTCGCTAGTGTAGGGTTTGGGGCAAAGAGCATGAGCGCAAGCGACGAGAATGAGACACTGGTGAGATGGGGTCTTCACTTGCTGGAGGTTCATCCTTTCACTGGTAGCAACGATTCGCGATCATCGTCGCCCGATTCTCTTCCTTGCTGCTGCCCGGTAGATGGCACAGAGGACGACGAGGCCCTAGCGATCTCTCTCCAGCAGCATCTCTACACCGAGGATACCACGCAGCCGCAACAGCAGCCACGGGAGGAGGATCCCCCGATTGGAGATTTTTTTGACAATCGCGACAAGGAGCATCACAATCTTAACGATTACGGTTTGGTGACTGGATCGGAGGAGATCTGCGAGGATTGCGCCGCCGAGGAGATGAGCATGGGCAATCACCACTCTTCCAGCAGCAGCAGCTCCCCAACTTTCTCTTACGATCAGCGCAACAACAGCACCAACGAGAACGATGAGGCGATTGCGGTTATTCTTTCCGAGGAGTTGGCACAACTCGATGGAGGAGAAGTTGGCCGGCGGCTCACACACATGGAATCCATACCTGTAAGTAGGCTGTATGGATTTTTTTCTTCTCTCCATGGCTGACTTCTTCTTTCTTCTCCATAGCTGACTTCTTTTTGGTGCACTTCTGTAGCATATCCCGAAGATAAATGGAGAGATACCGAGCCCGGACGCTGCCACACTCGATCATCAAAGGCTTCTTGAGAGGTTTGTTTCCTTTGCTTTTCACTTTGATTCATTCGTTGGCTTGTCTCTATACAGGCTTCAGGTCTATGGATTGACAGAGCACAAGATTCCTGGCGATGGTAACTGTCAGGTGAATCTCGCATTTCTGCAATTCCTGAAACTCTGTTTGCGTGCTTGCATTGAAAGCCTTCCATTTGAGAGCCCTGTCCCAGAGAAACTGAGAGAATTTTCCCATGTCAAGATCTTCGAAGGTACTTTCCAAAAAAAATAAGCGAAAAAGACCCAACAAAAACAAAACATTTGCTTGATTTCCTTCATATCGTTTACCTCTCTATTAAAGTTGTCTCTGGTTGACGTAGTAGTTTCGGGCGCTCTCGGATCAGTTTTATAGAACACCAGATCATCACATGTTTGTCCGGAAAGAAGTCATTAAACAGGTACAGTTTGTATTCTTTTTGCTTCTTTCGCTTCATGCGGTGTTATTATTTGTGAGAATTCAGCTGAAGCAGGATCCAGAACCATACGAAGGTTACGTTCCAATGAAATTCAGCGACTACCTCAAGAAGATGGCGAAGTAAGTAGCTTTTCGGTTTCACAACTGACATCTGTTCCAAAAATTCTAAATCCAGGAATGGGGAGTGGGGTGATCACGTAACATTGCAAGCTGCTGCTGATGTGGTAAGTAATTTCAAAGTGTCTGTCTTTTCAACTTGTGACATTTTCCTCTACAGTATGGGATGAAGATCTGTTTGATTACTTCGTTCATAGATACTTGCATCATTGACATCATACCAAAGGAACCGAAATCAGACAGAGGTAGCAAGTTTCCTTCCAGGCGCTCATCGGTAACGCTCGTTTTCTTGCAGTCATATTCTTAAGCTTTTGGGCTGAAGTGCACTACAACTCCGTGTATCCGGAAGGAGGTATAGTTTTGTGAAACACTGGTATGTGCTCTCAACCACTGTGTCGCAGAAGCCCCTGTCTCTTACACCGTCAGGAAGAAAAGGCACTGGTTTTCATTCTTTGGTTGAATCCAGTTCTTTTCTTCTTTCGCGATTTTAATCTACACCTATATACTTTTTCCTTTCTTGCTTCCCTCGCGCGCACCATATCTCTTCGTCTTCCGGCTAACAGTTTTCCATACAACAAAATTATTTTATTAGATCACAGGTACTACAAGTTACAACTTCCTAATTCGCCAGTGAGCAAAACGGCAAGTTGTTGCCAACACTCGTTCTTGTTAGCGGGTTCCAGCGGTCAAAAACAATCCGCCCGCCCCTTCCCATCCTACCACGGAACTGGTAACTTTCCTCCTCGAATTGTGGTGGCAGTATACCAGCGTCTGCTAACTCTCTCGCTTCCAGTGGCTTCGTGAACAGCATCACCGGTTCCATAGTATCGATGGATCGAATCGGGAACTACGCAAACACCAGAGCCACATCAAGTTCCAACAAAAGTGAAAGCAAAAGAGAGCCAGCCACAGTACCTTTCTAGCTGGTCGTCCTCTCGACAGAGGTAAGCGTTTCTTGCGCTTCTTTCTCAAGGGGTCCATCCTGTCCACTAAGGAGTTTTCCAGCATGGGGTTGGCATAGTCGTAGGCGTCCCCGTTCATCTGGTCCGTGCCTGCTTGCAAGTCGTCACTACGCTTTGGAAACAAGAGTTTCCGGGGCACTGTTGGTGGGAACAGGGATGCGCTGTTGAGGAACGACGTGTCCTCGTCGGCTTTGGATTCGTGCTGTTTGTGAAGTTACGAGAGAGAGAAAGAGCTCACTTTCCATAACAGGGGCGACGAAAACAAAAGTCACAGCTACCTTATACTTGATTTGGAGCCTCTGGATGTGACCTTCACAGTCGGCCAGCTCGCGCTTCTTCTCTTCACGCTGTGCAGGCAGAGAAAAGCAGCAGTGTCAAATCAAGGTGGAAGAAGATTCCAACGCCACTTACCTTTTGGACAGCCAGCATCAATGCTCTAGCTTGCTCCAGATTGCGACGAACCTACGCGAGAGTTTTCACACCATGTCAAAGAGACGAACACACGGAAGTTTGTACTCACCTGGCGGAGCTTGTCAAAGGATTGGACGTCGTTCTCACGCCTTTGCATCTATGAAAAATGACCAGACGAAATTTTTCTTTTTGAAGGAAAAGCGAAGGAGAGAAAACTTGTGAGTTACCCGCCGGGTGTGAGGACGATGAATTTTCTCCCTCGGTCTAAATACATTAAAAGGATTTGTGTCGTTCACCGGTGGGGGTGGCTGCAAGTTATTTTCTTAATCGTGTTGGCTCGAAAAGAAACGAAAAAAGTAGAAAACTCACTTGCAACCGACGAAGTATGGGCTTCTCCCAGCGCTCTCGCTGCCATTGCAATGCATGAGTTTAATTTTTCCCAGATAGAAAATGCAAAGAAAGTTCTATGGTATCAACCTTTGATTTCCAATAGTCATACACGGCGCCTGCAATGGTTGGCGATCGGATGTTCTGAGCACGCACGACCTGTCACCGCCCGAGTCGTCAACAATAAACGCAATGCTATTCCCACCTCCAGTGCTCCATCCTTTTGTAGCATGACCGGCATTGGGATTCCAAGTGTCGAAGGCAAACCTCCCACGCGCTCGCGAAGCTTGTGATCCTGCAATTCCATTTTGTAGAGAATTCTTTCAAATCTGCAAGACAGAAAACGTAAGCACATTCATCTCCTGCCCAAAATCCACACACAAAAGAAAAGAACGCTTACTTCTCGTGGGACAGTGTCTTGCGATCGCTAAACTGCTCGAGCCAATCTTCGTCCTCGTCATCCAAGTCATACTCCACAAACTCAGTTCCTTCATTCCTTGCTAGAAAAGCCACACAAACTTAAGCCGCGAAAGTTGAAAATCCACTCACCTCCTCGGCTCCGCAAGTAAGACGGTGGCTGCGTGAACGTCTGCGAGTAATCCTTCTCGTAAGTATCCACGCACACAAACTGTGGCGTGGGAATCTCTGCGCCTCCTCGTCTAGCCGGTGTAGCCAGCACCTATTGCAACAAAAAAAAAAAAACGCAACCAAAGCAACAAACACAAAGCAAAGAAGACGATCAAAAAAACTGAGCTGGAACCAAGATCACCCACCAGCTCGTTCTCCGAATCCAGCGCCACATGCCCGTGCTGGACCATCCGCGACACTCCAATCCCATCCTCATTGTCGAGGTCTCTCACGGACTTGACAATCGGGAGCTTCTTATGTATGTCTACAGGGCGGGGCCTAAATGACAACCTACTCATATCCGCTCATCTCCTTCTCGCCCGCTAATCCGCCATCTCCAGGATCCCTCACAGCAGTAGCCGCGCGCGCTCCATCACTCACCTCGCGCGCTGGGATCGATTCGCATCCTAGACCCCTGCTGCTCGCCCCTGGCGCCAACCCTATTTCCTCCCCCCTCAAGAGGATAAGCCCTAACCCAGACCTAGAAACAGAGGCCCCGTGGTTTAGGGTTTAGCGGCGTATATTCAGTTCCCGGCAGAGGCATATCCGTCGCAAAGCATATTCTGCTAGATTTGCATAGTATACGGTATAGATAGCTAGGGTGCGAAAGGGGCAATTGATGGCATTTTTGGCTGCCCAACGAAATAGATCGTCTCGTTGGATTTGGAAAATGATGGCGAGGTTACCATGGCATGCTAGCTCTTCTTTCTCTCTAGGGCCACGAAAACAACAGGAATCCATCTATCTCCAGACATTACTACTGCCATAGCCGATGTAAGAAAAGCAAAGATTTTTTGGTTCTTCCTAAGTGTGTGAAAGTGACCGGGCTTTTTACTTTCTACCGAGGAGCGGTAAAAGGTGATTTTTAGAATCTCTCGCGGTATATATAGGCAAATCTTGGGGCCGGAAAGAAGAAAACCTGCCTAGCTACGAAAAAGTAACTTTAAGTACTAGGGGGTAAAGGGCAGCAGCATTTTACCATTGGGGCCCATGATGATTAAGAATGATTGGCACACAGTACGGTGACACGCGGGTCACATCGCGTCGGCTCGTGAGCCAACGCTGGTAAGATCCCGGCCATCCGTCCATCCTGGTGATTCCACTCGGATATGCCACGGCGTCCAATCCCTGTGCATGATCATGGATGCGCCCCCGCCGCATGCCATACGGTCGAGGCTACATACGACTCACGTACCCCGTACGTATTGATCTTGAGTTGGAGGGCTGGCGCCAGCATCATGCCGGATTTTCACCACCGGGAAGTACGGCGATTTACCGTGTGAGCCATGCTGAATTGGCCCAAGGAGGGGTAATCCAGTGCACCGGCTGGGGGTAGCGCTACCACGTACGCTCTACGCCTCAGGTAGCTAGGATGTTTTAGGGCTGACGTCACAGATCTTGAATAAGACATGCTTGTTAAATGCGGAAAGAAGGGTAAATAATCTCAGTAAATATCCATGCATGAATTTGATGACGCATGATGTACCACATTCAAACGCCCGCAAAAAAACACACAGTGGAAAGTGTTGTTGGACATGAAGCGTGGTCATGTTTTCAGGAGCTTTTTATTTGGGTTCTTTGTTCTTGGGTTTTTTCCTTGCCTGTCCAGAAACGCGAGAATGTACTGCTCTTAGATTCCCTTGCCTTTTTCACATCGCATATAAGCACGCTTGGATTGGAGAGAGCTTGCAGGAAGAAGCGGGAGCGAGAGAAAGAAGAAGAAGAAGAAGCGAGCAAAACAATGAACGATCGCTACTCTCCCTCTCCTTCATCGTGGCTGCAGCTCGCTCCGGCTAGCGCCGAGGAGTTCTTCTTCCAGAGAACCGGGCTCGTTGTCTCTCCTGATGATCCAAGCTTCCCCTCGTCTCCTTTCGCGGCGGCTGCTGCTTATCTCCATCCACCATCGCCATTCCTCGACCACCACCAGCATCACCAGCAGCAACAGCAGCACTGCCACCAGCAACTTCGCCAAGATCAAGTCATTCTCAAGCTGCCGTCGTCGCAATACAAGGGAGTGGTGCCGCAGCCGAACGGCCGGTTTGGCGCGCAGATCTACGAGAAGCACCAGCGCGTGTGGCTGGGGACGTTCGACACCGAGGTGGAGGCCGCCAAGGCCTACGACGTTGCTGCAACCAAGATCAGAGGCAACGACGCGCTCACCAATTTCCCCCCGGTTGACGAGTCCGAGCCCGAGTCCGCCTTCCTCAGCCTCCACTCCAAGGAGCAGATCATCGACATGCTGCGCAAGCACACCTACAACCAGCAGCTCATCAAGAACACCGCCTTGGACACCTCCTCCTCCTCCTCGTCCACCACCACCACCAACAATCACAACGCCCCGTCGCCGCCGCTGGACGCCTCCTCGTCCTCGGCAGCCTCCACGCTGCAACAAGACGATCACGATCATCGCCTGCGCGCTAAGAGCAAGAGCAAGAGCAGTAGTCTACTAGCACAGCATCACCGCGAGCACTTGTTCTTCAAGGTGGTGACGCCCAGCGACGTCGGCAAGCTAAACCGGCTCGTCATCCCCAAGCACCACGCCGAGCGCTGCTTCCCGCTGGCGCCGCACGAGAAGGGGCTACTGCTATCCTTCGAGGACGAGCGAGGCAAGCACTGGCGCTTCCGCTACTCGTACTGGAGCAGTAGCCAGAGCTACGTCCTCACCCGCGGCTGGAGCCGCTTCGTCAAGGACAAGCAGCTCCAAGTCGGCGACGCCGTCTTCTTCGATCGCGCCACCACCGCCGGGAGCTCTTGCAAGCTCTTCATCCACTGGAAGAGGAAGGCCGCCTCGGTGTTCCACCCGGCCTTCAACTCCAACGCCGCTGCTCATCACCACCATTTCGATCCTTCTCCATTGCATCCAGTTCTTCCAACTTGGCCGGGATCGTCACCGTCGTCGCTGCTCCAGAGCGTGAGCGCCGTCACTTCCGCCCATCTCCAGCCTCGATCGGACCAGATGGTGTCTCAAGTCCAAGCTCTCTGGGGATCTTCTCAAGTTTTCGGTGCCTCTAATGTCTCAACTCCAGAGTTCTCGCATCCCAAGATCAAGGAGAGCTCCTGTGGTGCGATTCGGTTATTTGGAGTGGATCTTTCCAGCCCGTATTAAGCGGCGCTCGATCCCCTTCCCGGTTTTATACATACGAATATATAAAAACTCTTTTTTGGACTCCTATGATTGAGCCAAATCTTCGAGAAGCAAAGGATAGCAACTGTTTTATTTTGCCGAATGATAGTGTCGTAAACACGGCCAATCTAAGTATGTAAATCTCTGGTTTTTGTGAGGCACAAACGCAACGGAAGTTGTATCATACATCCATACCTGGATTTGTAAAAATGTCCAGGAATACGAAGCCAAGACAATGCTGCGAACCTGGAATAAAAGCAAGGCAACATTTGGTACTTCCTTTCTCAGACAAGCAGTAAAAAAGAGCATACCTGCGTTGATCCCGATCACTTGCATCAGATTCTCGCTCTTTTTCCCAGCAAAGGAGGAAGGACGGTCGTTTCATATCGTCGCGGGGTCGCAGGGCCTCCAAGAAGACGCGGACGAGCATCTTAACTCCTTTTTACAGCAGGAAGTCCGGTACCACGGCTGCTCGAGGGGCGAACTTTAACGGACTCTTTGCTCGTTTCCTGTGGTGTTGTCTCTTGGAACGTTGTTTCTCTTGATCCTGTTGTTGCTGCTCGCCTTGATCCTGCTGCTTCTCACTGTCGAGGCCTTCCTGTGGTACTGCTGTTAAATCTCCTCCTTCCGCAGGGTGTTTCTCCCTTCGGTGCCTCCGACGGTGGTGGTGGTGGTGCTTTTGAGCAGCATTGCTGGATTCCGGGAGCGAGCCGTCACGGTGGCTCCCGGACTTGTTGTTGAGTAAAACGTCCCGTATGGCACTGGAGAGAACCGAGTTTTTGAGAGCACCCTTGGACGTCATGGGAACGCTGCCGAAGTCGTTCTCCTCGTCCGTGACCTTGACAACGACGGAGCGGGCTTTCGGACGCTTGGGCTTGTTCCACACCAGCAATTCTTCCGCCAGCTTGTAGTTGTCATCAGCGGCTGCCGGTTGCGCCTGTGGAGCCTCGGCGCCAAGTAGTCCTTCCTCCTGCCTCGTTTCCTTTGGCAAGTAGTACTTTTCGTTCTTCTTCCTGTGCTGCTCCAAAAGGCCGGCACTCTCATCGACGAATGCAGTGTCCTCTTCCTTTTTGTGTGTGAAAAGCGAGCTCGACTCCGGTAGCAATTCTGTGTCTTGAAGCTGATCGTCACCAAGCACATTCTTGAGCTCGCTAAGATCGTCGAGCAGCTCGAGGCCATCAGGGACCACCACCCTTTGCTGAGAAAACTGGGACACAGGTCCCAAATCCTTCGCAAAAGCTTCCCGGATCCCCGCAAGCACACCTCCAGATCCAGCCTCGTCTTCTATGAAGCTGATAAGCCCAAACAGGTTGCTGGCTCGCTCCTGGACTTCCGTGTCCACGTGACTCTGCAAACTTCCAGCGTTCTCTCTGATCAACGTTAACATTCTTCCGAGAGGCTCTTGAGCTTGTTCTTCATCCGCAACATTCCCATTTGATTTTATCTCTTCGTACTCAAACTTATCCACCACCTCTGCGTCGATAGCAGTGTCAGCAGCACTCGCAAAGTGAACCAAAATCTTCAGCACTGCCTGGAGAAAAACAGCTTGTACTGAAGGTGGAAGCTTCTTCATGCGAGGCTGAAGCAGCGCCTCGACAATCTCAAACAAATCATCCGCCAACTCCACGTACTCCCCTGCTATCCATGCGGCCGCAGCTAAAACTCTATGAATGTGACTGTTCTCCCAAGTCGACGAATCTATTAGAAAGTCCCGAGCTAGCCTTGAAAGATCCTTCCTCACGCTTTCTACTCTAAGCCCGATATCTACAAGCTGCCTCTCTACTTCCTTTCCCTGCTCGAAATTTGGAACTCTAACCAGCTCTCCCAAAACTCCAACGTACCAGGAGAAATCCGTGACAAGCTCGTAAAAGGACCTGCTGCACGTTGACAAGATAGAAGACAAGAGCTCGTTGCAAAAGATCTTCTCGGCACTTAGCGCATATCTCATCAAGATCTGTACAGTGTCGGCAAGGTTGGAGTCCGAGACCATGCTGACGATGAGCCGTAGCGAGGCCATTTGAACGCTGGGATCCACATCGTTCAAGCAGCTGATAATCACCGACTTGCTCTGCGTGACGAGCTGAGGATAAACCGGCAACAAGTCGAGCACTGCCTGGAGTCCCAAGTACTTGAGATTCGGATCGTCGTCCTCCCCTTCTCCTCCGTGAGAAGCCGCGAGAATCTCTTGCAGCTTTCCAGCGGCGAGCTCCACCACCTCGGTGTTATCCAAGAGTCCCACCGTTATAGTTCGTATGCACTCGAGCACAAGAGACTTCGCGCTGGTCCTTCGCATTTGCTCGCAGAGTGGCTCGGCAATCTTCTTCGCTAGCCGGGGCTCGAGCGGCATGAGAAGTGCAAAGAGTTTGACGAGCTTGATGAGCAGCCAGTTGTTGGTCGATTCCACCAGAAGCCTGTAGAGCTCGGGAGCGAGGAGAAGATATGGCTGGGGGTCCTGCCGAGCGAGCTCGTGAAGAACACTCACACAAGCCGCCACCACCTGTGAGTCCCGATCGTCGAGCTTCTCCACCAGTCTCTTGAAAGCCACTCTTATAGACTCTGGATGCTTGGAGAAAACCTTGAAGAGCACCAGCGTCGCCTTCTTCCGGATGTAGAGCTTGCTACTGCCCAGCATCGTCAGCACGTCCTGCGTGAGATCCCTGACCAGATCCGGCGTCGCGATCCGCGACAGGCACTCGAGCGCCATGCCGGCCTCAAATTCGTTCTTGCTGGACAGATCCTTCTTGAGGAGATTCGTGATGAGCAGCAGCACGTCGGTGGAATCGGTGAAGCTCTGCGACGCAGCCAGGTAGCCGATCTTCTTGTGGGAGAATTTGGGCATGCTCATCACCTCCACGACCTGGAATGCCGCCCAGGCCATGTCCACGCCGTGGAGAGCGTTCAAGTAGGCGAGCTTGTGGACCGCCGCCGCCTTGATATGTGGATCCGTCGCCTTGATCTCCTTGCGGATCTCTTCCAGCGCCTTGGCCACGTACCTGGATTCGCCGCTCGCGGCCGCCTGGCTGCGCAACCCCTTGACCAGATCGTCCAGGCTGCGCTGGAAGAGGTAATCCATCACTGCCGCCATCGCTGCCCTAAAGGGAGCTAGCTCCAAGAAAGAATTATCCCATGGAAGGGCTTTTGAGTAACTTCGAGAGAATAGTCCTCTCCTCTTTACATCGTCACATTATACTTGCGTGTTCTTCTCTCTGTCTTGTTTTCTCTGGTTTCAAGTAAGGCGCGACGTGATCCAACATTTCTTGATCCGAGATGGAGAGATGATCTCCGGAGAACGTCACGAATTGGATCCTTCCTTGTTCATGGAGTGACTTTAGACCAATCCAGTCTTCCTTGTATAGAGCAGTCTGATAGGACAGAGAAAAGAATGAAACCAAAGTTTCTGGAATCGAGTGGAGTACCTCTTCCATCGGTAACACTTTCGTTAGATCGTTGGGAGGAAAGAATCCAAACCAAGCGGTTTCTTGCGGCACCAGGACTGTGTCCTTGTCAAACTGGAAGTTAAAATCGAGCGAGCGTCAGCCATACGGTGGATACGATAGGAAGAAAAAACCTTGACAAGGACGAGCTGATTCAAGTCACTGAGACGGTGCTTGAATGTTGCGTTGCGATTCTGGGGAAGCTCGTTATTCAGCTTTGGAAGGAATACACAGCTCCGATAATAGGACGACAAATCCTGGAAATTTTCGTAAGGAAGCTCATAGTTAAAGGACGCGATGATGGTAGTCACTTGCAAACCTTGGGCATTTTTATATATCCAGTGGGTGCTAGATGGTTCTGCAAGATGGTTCTGTAAGTGGGAAAAATATTTCTCAGAAACGTAAAGCTGGGAGCTACCTGAACAAAATCGCTGTAGACACCCATATGAAGGATGATATCGGCCAATGCGCAGAAGGAATAGGCCTGAAAATCAACTCGTCAAGAGGCAACCCGAACGAAATGGAAGCTTACGCACTGCGCAAAGAGGCAAAGACGCGATGCCAGCGTGAGGACCACCCAGAGAGACCATATTGTTAACCTGAAGTAGCATACGAGTCAGTTAGATTACGTCTAGAGTACCATAGCGAACTTACAGGAGGTCCATCACACCATTCAATCAATCCTCTTCCTATCAAGTTTCCCTGTGGAAAACATGAACACGGTAATGATAGAGATGTGGTTTCTTCGTTCAGGCTCTACCTGGGAAAGACCAACGATGTTGTAGCCTCCAGCAAGCTCTGGAATAAGTTTGATCTACAGAAGAGAACTTTGAAAAACGGCTCAAAGTCGCCAGACACAAGTTAAATACCTCCTTACACGCGAGCTCAACTTGCTTGTCAAGGCGCAGAAACCACGAATCGCTGGCCCCGTTACCAATTTCGCTAGGAAAACCACTGGGCATCAGCAAAAGTACTAGAGAAACTATGAACTTGAGGACTGACATGCAGTAGCCAGGAGCTCCACTCATAGTGCCGAGATCAGTAGTGAACTTGGTGATACCGTGGTGCTTGCACTCATCGGAAATTCCTGAGGATTCAAGCAAACTCAATTAACTTCGCAGATCGCAGCAACGGAACTGACCATGCAAGACGACGAATGGCAAGACTGATGACGCCGCGGGAGAGAGTTGGAGCATCGCCCAAGAGGCCACCAGGAGCAAGAACTTCATCATTTCCGCTCGTAGCTCTAGGGCTTATTTTATAAATAAAAAAAGCCATTTTTGTTGAAGATATGATCGTTGAACTTTCGAGAATCGTCTACTTTGCTGGAGCAGCGGGAGGCGCCGCGGGAGCAGCAGCACCGGGAGCGGCAGCAGCGTCGGCGGGCGCTCCTTCTCCTTCCTTTGGTTTCTCTTCAACTTTCTTTCGTGGATTGTTGTCTGTCAAGTACTTCGCTAGAAACTCCACTGGATCCACAGGCCTACACACTTTCCATGCACGAATAAGAAGGGCCATAACAGAAACTAGAAGCTATACCTCTCAATCACCAAGCGTTGCATTCCTTGCAATAAGAGAGGCACCACTCTCGTTTCCTGCGAATCCACAACGTTGGACGAAATCATTTTTGAGAAGAATCTCGTCATACCAAGTACTGTCGCACGGGCATAGCCTTGGCTTCGGCCATCTCTTGGTCACTCGGCTGCATGAACACGAAAGAGTTGTAGAAAGTTTTCTCCGAGACCAGAAAAACAAAAGAAAAAAGAAAGACTTACAGGAGGCGGAGATCCGGACTCCGAGGCCATCAAATTACTCAGCTGCGTGAGTCCATCAGCAGCGGCAGCAGATGCACCTGGTTGATCGATCGATGAGAAAAACGAATGAAACCAATGAAAACGTCAATAAAGACAAGCAAAAACAAGAAACCATAGATCACAACGAAGCTCGAATTATCAGCAATGCAAGAAACCATAGATCGAAATCTGGACAAAGAACAAAGAACCGCTCGAAATATCAACAATGCAACCAAAAACAAGAAACTAGATCGAAATTTGGACAAAGAACCTTCTCGCTGCGCCGATCGACAAAGAATCGCTCGAAATATCAATCAATCAATCAGCACAGAGAAAGATTTCTTGCCTGCAGGTTGCGCGGGGACGGCATCCATGGCAGCGGCAGATCAAATCACGAAGAACAGTGAATGCGTGCGCGGAGTAGTAGATTCCCAGCCGGATCAGCCACAAGGAGCTCCACTGCCCTCGATCGCTCCACCACCACCTCCGCCTCTTCTTTCCCTCCTCGCCGCCCGCTAATGCCCCCTGCATTGTGCCTCGTGCCCTTTCAGCCCTACACGTCAGACGGATACTCCCTGACACGTCACCAACATACTGCCACGTGGACACGCGAATCTAGGGCTTGGATGGCGTATTCTCCCGAAAGAGTGTGGGATGCCCCGGGGCGTGGCACGGCGGCTGGGCGCGCCCTCTTTCGCCTCTACAATGGATTCGCCGCCGCCAGGCAAAAGGGCGAGCAATTCTCGCTGCAAAACAGGCTCGCGATTCTTCGCCGCCTTGCCAACACCTCGCAAGAAGGTCGTGATCTTCTTCTTCTTTTCTAACGAGTGATCCTCCATTTCCTTCGCTCGCAGAGAGGGCGGAAGAGCCGGCGCCCGTGAATCGCAAGGTTGCTCTTTGTAAATCCTCCAAGCATTGATCTCACAAACCGGAAAAATGGAAGTTTTTCTTGTTGCCTCTTGCGAATTTGATCCTATCAGAGAAATCTCTGAGCTTTGCTGCAGCCCAAGGTGAGAGTGCCCCGGTTCCGGAGGAGGCCGAGCCCGGAGGACGTGCCGCCTTTTCCAGTGCATGGCTATGGCGGCAAGCGAAAGGCATCCCTTATAATCGAGAAGGCGAGGGAGGAGTTTGAGAACATATCACTTCCGCCACCTCCAACGAGTAAGTTTTCCCTCTTCTTTGTTTCGTTGCCCACATTCCCATGGTTTTAGAGCCCGTGCTGGACGAGAAAGAGAAGCAAAGGCTTCAAACCATCTTCGAGTGGCACGGTCTCCTGGAAGAGGTATGGATCTAGATTTCCAGCGTGGAGAACTTTTGTAGATTCGAGAGCGCAGGGGGAAGTTCTGGTGGCACCCAAGATCACTCCCGTGCCGCGGATTCGCAAGGGCTCCAGGGAGGAGAAGGAGCAACTCTTGGATCTAAGTAAGAATCATGGAGTTCTTCTCGTTGTTCTTTCGTCATGTTTGCCTTGGATTGCCAGTTTCCAAGGAGATTGAGGAGCGAGAGGAGTTCTTGCGAGACATGCAAAAGTACGGCAAAGACGAGGAGTACCGGAGCCAGATCCAAATGGAGATCCACGACGTAAAAAACCATCTTCCTCTCTAGCCTTTGCAATCAAATCTTTCGTTTCGCGCAGCGAGTCAAGCAGATGAAGCAACTGGACAAGCTCATAACCGCGGAGGAAGAGAGGCGCGCCATGGAATTCCGCGCAAAACAAGAAGAGAAAGCCAAGAGTGTTTCCTGGAGCGACAACGATCTATAAACAAAACGATCCCATTTAAAAAAATTTGACACGTTAGAGAAACCTAAGTTAGGGTTCTAGTATGTTTCTCTCGTTGTTCTTCCTCGCGATCGTGCTCCTCCGCGCAAATGCCACGGTCGTCATCACGACTCCCACGAATCAGTCCATGCCCTTCTCGGACATGGAGGCGGGATTCGGTAAGTTCTTCCCGCTCCAAAAGCATCCGTGAATTTGTGGAAATTCTCTCCCAGCTCCTCGCGTCCCGCAAGCCGGGATTTTGGGCCTCCTCTACCGCGGCAATCCACTGGACGCTTGCGATCCGCTCAAGACCGGGCCGGCTCTAGACCAGAGCCCATTCTCTTCGTTCGTCCTCGTGAAGCGTGGAGCTTGCCGGTTTGAGAAGAAGGTGCGCAACGCCCAGGACGCTGGATTCTCGGCAGTGATCGTCTACAACGATGAAGATGGCCGCGACCTTGTGATTAGTAAGTTCTTCCTAGTGGAGCTTCTCGCGAAGATAACATCAGATGTGATCCTTTCATACTTTTTCTTTGCAGTGTCGGGTGATTCGTATGGGATTAAGATCCCGGCGGTATTTGTCTCCCACGCAGCGGGAAAGGTTCTGTGGAGGTACGCTGGAAATCCACAGACGAGGTGCTTCATTTTCCCGACGCTGGACTACCCGGCCTGGTCCGTCATGGCGGTGGCTTTCATCTCGCTTCTCGCGGTCACGGCTGTGCTGGCGACGTTCTTCTTCGTGCGGAGGCACCGCTTGCGTCGGCTTGGCTCGAGGCTGCTGCTGCCGCGAGAGCCTCCGGGACTGACTTCCTCGGAGGTGAGATCGCTGCCGACGTTGGTGTATAGGCGCGCTGGCGATGGTGACGATCAGGCAGACACTTGCGTGATCTGCATGGAGGAGTACGAGGACGGGCAGAAGCTCCGGGTTCTTCCGTGCCGACACGGTGAGCGAGCGAAAGCTTGGCTTTGTTTCTTACTGTTGCGTTTGTTCTTCGCAGCTTTCCACGCAGCTTGTGTCGATCAATGGCTCGTGACGAGGAAGCCCTTTTGTCCCGTTTGCAAGAGGGACGCGCACGCAAAGTCGGAAGCTCCCACAGCCTCGGAGAGCACTCCACTTCTCACAGCGAGAGCTCCTGCGGCGGTGGCGGTGGCGGTGGTGCCGGCGCAAACTTCCGCGTCGCCGCTCCTTCATCACTCGGGATCCCCCATTCCGGTTCCAGCTCCAGCTCCTCCATCAGACACTCTTCTATTTCGGAGCGCGTCGCTGACGAATACCGCTCCATCGAGCAGAACAGTTCCAGCAAAAATCATGGCTTCCTCTTGGCCTCGAGGCCTGCAGGCTTAAAGGCTGCAAAGTGAAGGGAAGAAAGATGTTTTTCTTTTTTCGTATGGCTCGAGTATGTCTAGTGCTGAAGGGGTCGCAAAAGAGTCGCGACTGTGTCTCCTCCACCATACCGCAAAATGATCGGCCGGTAAGCCTCAATTCTCTTTGTCTTCCTTCCTCTCATGTTGGTCTTACAGCTTCATCTTTGGCTGCATCTAACCTTTTAATGAGAATAAGATTTGCCCTGTATATTGTTATGCTTTCGCTTTAGGGGCTGTACGCTCCATTTACAATTGAGAACATTTTAGGGATGGAAGAACTACATTACGGCTTTTATAAAGGTCGTGAGGGCCCATTAAAATAATGAGCAGTAGTCGTCCTAAGAGTTAATGTGTAGAGTTGTGGCCGCTAGTAGAAATTTTCCAAGCCAGACTCCAATGTAAAATCTGAGGAGAGTTCCATGGCGTCCAAGCTCCTGACGTTTTTAGCTTCTGGTATACTTACATTCTAATACCATGATTATCACTGATAATTATTCCACTTGAAAAATATTGAGATTTTCCAGTAAATACACATTAAAAGACATTCACTTCTAAAAGACTGAGAACAGGCTTTGGACCATTTTTCGTGGTTGTTATCTCCTCTCCATGCAATTAGAAGCACGAGATATGCCATTACAGTTCTCTCATTGAGATTGTTTTTTTTTATAATAACATTAAAAGGGTAAAGTTACAAGCTAAATGTCTGGCATTCCAAGTGCATGAATAACAATTACCAAAAAATTTGGTTCAAAACTTATTCAGTCCTAGAAGTTAATGCTTTCACAGGATCTTGTAAACAAAGGAAAACTTTGTGAGTGTAGTTATAATTCTAAAAATAAATATAATCACACTTTTTAAGGAAGGGGTTATAGAGAGAATTAAAGTGAAACAATATTTTATATTTTGACATGTAATTTTAAGTGAGGAGTTCAAAACAGAAAGCAAAAATGGAAAAAAGAAGAGGCTTTAGCAAAAAAACCATAAAAATGGATGAAATATCTTTAAATATGAGTTCAAGGATTATTTAATATAATACATTTAAATGACATTGTGTTTTGTTATAATTTTTTAGTTAAATAAGCCATTTTTATGTTATTATATCAACAAAAGCATAAATATTTATATTTTAACTTTTGTGAGGATGTGGGGAATGAGGAGGGGTGAGAAAGTTCCTGGACGTGATTATGAGCAAAAAATAACATTAATAAAAACTTTTTGAACATCATCTTCTCCTTGAAGTATATTATGAATTTTCAGTTAGGGATTATTTCCCAGACTTGCCAAATTCCTGGATCTGGTGAAATATCATATGCATTCCCTCAAACTAAAATGGGAATTAAAATATATTATATTATAAAATTCAATTATAAATTATACATTATAACTTATATTTAAAATAAAATATAATATCTAATATAAATAAATTAAAGGTTTTATAATTATTATATATTATGAAAATTATATAGGAAAAAACACAAAAAACTTAAATCTTAATATATAAAAATATTTAAATCTAAATCTAAATGGTTTCTAAAAAATCCTTAAAAAAAGAGTAAAATAAAAGTTTCATATAATCATACGAAATAATACATTAAGCTAAGACATATAAACATAGTCCTATGCTAAATAATACCGTAAATTAATATTAAAATAATTTCTTAAAAAATGTTTCTTTTTATGTGAATCTTGATAATAAAAAGACTATGATTCATAACCCCTTTTATAAGTTTTCTAATCAAGTAATAAATTGGTTCGATTCTGAATTTCAAAATAAATAAATATTAAAAAATTACCTATTAATTAAACTCTTACTAGAATGTTTTTTTATAAACATAAAGACCTAAGAAAAAAAATTTAGTTTCATAATGATCTAATTGGCAAAGAAATTCTTCATTTTTAAATTAAAAAAATATACAAATATTCTTTTATACTTTTTTATAAAACATGTATGTTAATCATCACCAAGATCCATTTATACTAAAGGTGGCCATTTTCTAGAATTTACCAAATGTAACCTCTAAATTAATAAAATGATTCACAAAAGTAAAAATTAATTAATTTCAAAATATTATAAATTATACATTTACTTATATAAAAATGATTTAATAATAATTATTCTACATTACCAGGATGCTTTCTATATAAACTTCAAGACCTAGGCACAAAATTAAGTTTCATAATGATCTAACTGGCAAAGAAATTCCTGATTTAATAAAAAATGTATGTTAATCATCACCAAGATTCATCTATACTAAAAGTAGCTATTTTATAGAATTTAACAAGCAATAAAATAATCCACTATACTAAAAATTAGTTAATTCTAAAATCTTACGAATTATACATTTGCTTATATATAAAAATGATTTAATATTAATTAGTATACATTACCAGGATGAATGCTATATAAACATAAAGACTTAGGGAGAAAATTAAGTTTCATCATGATCTAATTGAGAAAGAAAATTCCTGATTTTAAATTAAAATAAAATATAAATATTTTTAAATAATATTTTTTAAAAAAATATATTAAACATCACCAAGATCCATTAGTATTAAAGGTGGCCATTTCCTAGAATTTACCAAGTGTAACATCAAAAGTAATAAAGTTATTCACAAAAGAAAAAATTTGTTAATTTTTAAAATTAAACAAATATATAAATATATTTGAATAAAATTTTTAAAAATGTATATTAATCATCACCAAGATCTATTGATACTAAAGGTGGCAATTTTATAGAATTTACCAAGTGTAACCTCTAAAGTAATAAAGTGATTCACAAACGTAAAAATTAATTAATTTTAAAATATTATGAATTATACATTTATTTATATATATAAATGATTTATTATTAATTAGTATACATTACTAGAATGATTGCTATACAAACATAAAGACCTAGGGAAAAAATTGAGTTTCATCATGATCTAATTAGGAAAGAAATTCCTAATTTTTAAATTAAAAAAATATATAAATATTTGAAAAAATGAATGTTAATCATCACCAAGATCTATTGATACTAAAGGTGGCCATTTCCTAGAATTTATGAAGTGTAATATCTAAAGGTATAAAGCGATTCATAAAAGTAAAAATTAATTAATTATAAAATATTATAAATTAAACATTTACTTATATATAAGAATGATTTAGTATTAATTAGTCTAATTTATTATAGTTCACTTATTACTCAGATATGGTAATACAAATATATATATATATATATATATATATATATATATATATATATAAACGTTATAAATTGGAAATAAAAACAGTTAGTAGGTAAAGTGAAACTTCTAAAAGGTAGATGGTGTTTATTTTTCATACTACCTTTTCTTAGAGTGATAATTTTCTTTATTTATTTAATTTATTTAAAATAAAATAATAATAAATTTCTAAGCTATTTTTGATATACTATTAAATAAATTATGAGATCAAAGGGAAGAATAAAAATACTTTTCTATCCAGGCATTAGCATTATAATCTTTACTACTCAATCATTTTATCGTAACACACACCCTACTGTGGGAAAAAAACTACAATAATAGAGGAACTTAAAAACCATCATAAATTAATCACTACAACCATAAGGACAGTCACAAAGGATGAGGTTGATGACATTAAATACTAATGAGATTAGACAATAAATGATTATGGCAATTGTCACCACAACACATTTAAATCTTTGTAACTTTGTCATGGTGATGTGCTAGAACCAACCAACTACAAGGAAACATTAGATATAACTATTAAGATGCATTTCAATGATAATTTACAAAAAATGAACACAAAAAATCTAAATTTATGTTTAGCAAGGGAATCAAATTAAGAGGGATATATAAAAAGGGGAAATTTAAAAGGAGTTTTTCTAAGAATGAATCCTTAAAGTTCTAAAAAGGCAAATTCAATGGTTAAAGAGCAAATACATTGGAGAGTCAAATGAAAAATGACAAACCCACTAATAAAAAAACAAAATTTACTAGTAATATGGGGAATAATATATGTTACAATTGCAGAGAAAAAGGACACTTCTTGAGAGAATGTCTCTACTCAATGAAGGCCAAAGTCAATATAGCCATTAAATCAGGTGAAATAAAAATTAAGATATGTAATCCTGTCCATAGCTCAAAATTTTTCATTATATGAGCAACTTTAGTAAAGAGTTATTTATGACATTTATTAACCCTTCGAGGGAAAATTGAAAGTAGCTTTATTAGAATCTTTATTCACATGGGTGCTTCAGATAATTTTATGGTTTACATGTTTATTTTTATAAAATAAAAAGAAAAAACTAAAGTTTAGCTTTATATACTTGAGTTAGCATTGCATAAGAGGACATTACACTTGATGCAACTCTTATAGATGAATATAGCTTGAACATGAGTTGGATTATGTTATTCTCACAACCTAATTCAAATACATAAAGCTAGAAATCTAGTTTTTTCTTTTTTTTAATAGAATGATTTATAACCATATCTATTTATAAAGGTTATATTGATATTTTATAATAAATGTTGATTACATATTAAAGAAAACCAAACCGCAGCAAATTATTTACAATTACCAATAGGTATTTTTAAAAATAATTTATCACATTATAACAATTTCTAGATTAATTTTTTTCCAAATAAAAATGGCAGACTGTATTGCTAGAAACTAATTTAAAACACTATAATAATAATGATAGGCAATTATGTTTTATTTTGTAATTATTAAGCATCATAAGTTATTAAAATTAATTATACCCCTAGTATATTCTTTGGGGTTGTGGCGATGGCGGAGTACAGTAGTAAGGCGCAGAAAACTGCAACTGCCATTTCTACGCCTCCGCCAAGCAGCTGCACCACCACCACCGACGCACAAGGAACTCGTAAGCCTCCATTCACCATTGTCCAGGATGATAGCAAGCCGACTCTCCGCGACCCGGTAAGCCTTCACAATGCTAGTTTTTCCTTGAATCTTACGGCTTTGTTCCTACAGCTGACGACCTCCGACCCAATCGAGACGGAGCAAATCCTCCTCCAGCCCCCCCTCTTCAGGAAAACGTGAAGTGGAGAGGTGAAAGTCTCAAAGAGTTTGCTTTGGTTTTTGCAGTCAGGAGATCTGTGATTCATTTCTTCTGTGCAGGATGGTTAGGAATGTGAAAGGTAGGACTGGTTTTTTTCGCTTCTTTGCAAGCTCTTTTCAAGGTTGACGAGAGAAACCATGGTGGATAAAGCCAACTTTCCGCTCGGGAGCGTTGCCTCTTACAACAGTGTGCTCTCCGGATTCGCACGGGCTCATCTGTGGAGCAAGGCAGAGAGCCTCTTGGCTCAAATCCTCCACACACACCGCACAGATTCCAGTCTCGTCTCCACGAGCTTCGGCTTGGTGATCAGCTCCTACGGCAAAGCTGGCATGCTCGCAAACATGGAGAGCCTCTTCCGCTGCATGCTCAACGAAGGCTGCTCGCCGAGCACGTCGACTTTCAACGCGATGATCAGCGTCTACGGCAAGGCGCTACGAATCCCAGACATGGAAGCCGCTCTACAAGCCATGCTTGCGGAGTTTCCAGGAGTGGAACCGAACGTTATCACCTGGTGCTGCCTGGCCGACGCTTACAGGAGAGCGAAGCTCGACGCTCGGGTCGACATGGCTCTGGAGAAACTGCTGCTCAAGCCGGAGGAGCTCGACGCAAAGGCGTATGGTCTCATGGTGGACATCTACGGGCGAAGGAAGGACTTCCAGAGCGTGGAGAGATGCTACAGGGACATGGTAGACGCGGGTTTCAAGCCCGACGTCTCGGCCTGGACGTCGATGGTGAAGAGCTTCGGCGCGGCCAAGGGACGTGACGGCGTGGACGAGATCTTGAGCCGTGTTTCGTCGTCCCAGCTCGAGCCGGACGCGAGGTTCTACTTGTCTCTTCTCGAGAGCTACCGAGCGAGTGGTTCTTTCAGAAAGATGGAGGAAGTTTTGCGCCTGCTCAAGCGATCCAAGCCCAGCAAGGCCGAGCTCGTCAAGGCTGCCAACATCGTCTTGGACGCGTATGGAGCGAAGGGGTCTATCAGGAGGATGGAGCAGACGCTGGACGAAATGGAGGACGATGGCATAGAGCCCGACTCACGGACTTACACCGCGCTCGTCGCTGGATACGCAAAGGCAAGGATGGTGAGGAGAATGGAGAGTACGTTTCTGCGGATGCGAGTGGCATGCTGCGCTCCAGACGAGTTCGTCTACAATGCGTTAATCGATGGGTACGCGAGCTTGGGCATGGTGGAAGAGGCCGAGCAAAAGCTTGCGGAGATGTCCAGGGCGGGGCTCAAGGCGAGCGTGGTGGAGCTCACGTCGGTGCTAAACTCGTACAAGAACTCGCCACACCACAGGGCTCGTTTGCCGGCGAGATTCTTCCAGCTCCAGCGAGAGTTTGGAGGAGAGATCTTTCGGCCGGACGAGCAGACAATGGCGGTCTTTCTGTCCGCTCTCGAGGCCGCGGATTCGACCGGAGCGAGGGCGGAGCTGGTGGAGTGTATCCGGCGGTGTGATAGCTCTGGAACAGTGGCCAAGCTCTTGGAAGCTCCATGCGAAGAGAACGAGATCATGGATCTGGATGGCGGCGGGAGGCTTTGGAATGGCGTCGAGCGATTGCTACTGAGAGCCAAGGATCCGGCCGTGCTGTGCGACTCGCTGGTGGATGTTTTGTCATTCCATGGGCTTGGCGCGAGAGCTTCAAGGTTGCTGGGCATAGCTTGGGATCGTGGCTTGCTTCCAAGGCTGGAGAGTGTCCGAGGGGATGCAATTGTTCTGGATCTTCATGGTTTCTCTGTGAGGGTGGCCGAGGTGGCTTTGATGCTGTGGCTCTCGAGGCTGGAGAGCTCGGGACGTCCATTTGGTTCCATTAGCATTGTCACGGGATGGGGAAGAAGCAGCAAAAGCTGTGGTCATTCTCTGCTCAAAAGTGCTGTTGAGGCAATTCTATGGAAGCGAGAATTGCCCTTTGCATGGGATAGAAACTCGGCAGTTCTAAATGTTAGATTACAATAGAGATGATAAGGTTCGCAACTTTGGAATTTCTGGTTATACTTGGAGGCAAATTGGCATTCATTTCCGAAGTTCCATTTTTCACTTTATATAACCAAGGTCCTGCCTTTTTTTAAAGTTTTATAAAAGTTAAAGATAATTACATCTTCTTTATTTAATAACAGAATCCTGTTCCTATTTCTAATGTTTCGACTGATATGCCTATTTAAATTATAAAAAACCCTGTTTTTATTTACTTAATATTAAGATGAATACTTTCAATATTAGAAAGCTAATTTTACTTATCTTACTTAACTACTTATTTCATTTTATTTATGCTCCTCCAGGATCTCAGCCTCGGTTTGGAATTAGTGGTATTTTAAATCCTCAAGATATACATAAAATAATTATTGCTTTTAACAGTTTGTTATTTAAACTTAATAATAAAGAGCTTTATCCATCAAAATTTGGAGATGGGACTGTAATACCTGTATCACAAGGGTATATAGATATAATAATTAAAGCAAAAGATCAATGTTTTTATGAAGATTCTGTTATAGGTTTTAATATTAAACGTGGAATTGAAAGTCTTTTAGAAGCTAGTAAAGAACTTATGTTTATCAATAATTCAGATTTTTTTGAAAGAGAAAGTCAAAAATATTTCATACAATATAAATTAATACGTCCAAAATCAAGAGAGTTTGCTGATCATAATACAATTTTAGATAAACAGTTAAATTGTCATCTTAGAAGTAATACTTTATTTCCTGGTTCAGTTATGTATGTTGATCATTTTTTAGTGTCTTCAAATGGTAAAAATATATTTATTTTAAAGTCTAATTGCAATATTATGTTTTATTCATCAAATAAACTTCTTTGGGAATCAAATACTTCTATAAAAAATGTTAATAATTGTTTTCTTACTTTACAGTTTGATGGTAATTTAGTTATGTATTATGATAATAAATCTCTATGGGCCACCAATACATTTTGTAAAAATCAACCAAATTGCATATTTTTAACTTTATTTACTATTCAAAATGATTGTAATTTTATCGTTTATACCTCAAAATTTCCAAATGCTGCTTTATGGACATCAGGTACTAAAGACCATGTATTATGCTCATATTAATCCTATTAAATGTTTAATCTATTGCATTTAATAAATTTTAAAATCACAAAATATATTACACAAAGATCAATAATATGCAGAAAAAAAAAATTATAAACCAAAATAAACAATATTCCTTAGGAATCTGTGAGTTAAGTCATGATTAAATTCTAATAGCTAAGAATGTCAAACTGCCTTTGCCGTGCTCGAGCTCTATCTTTTTCTCGCTGGCTCTTGTGGTGGAAGCAGTGTGGACATGACACCCCAGCCTCCCATTCCGGAGACGCCATGTCTTGCTTGTTCACTGGCTTCTTACAAGCATAGCAGAGATCATACGTTCCAGGCACCAAGCTATGCTCCACCGAAACTCTACGATCAAACACGAAGCACTCGCCGTGCCACAAGCTCTCTGCCGGTTGTGTCTCTTCCAAGTATCTGAGAATGCCTCCCTCAAGATGATAAACCTATAAAGATGCCTGCTGGAAAACGTTCAAGCTTTTTCAGTTTCAAGTTACCTCGTCGAATCCTCGGTCGAGTAAAAATGCGGTTGCTTTCTCGCATCTGATTCCTCCAGTGCAAAACGTAGCGATTCGGCGAGGGCGATCGCCCTTGAGGCTGAGGTTTTTGTCCACCCAGTCGGGGAACTCTCGAAAAGAGGCTGTTTTAGGATCCAGCGCTCCTTTGAAGCTACCAATGCGAGTTTCGTACGAGTTTCTCACGTCGATCACCACCTTGGATGCACAAAGTGGTCTCAGCGCATGGAAGGAGAAATGGACGCGAGGTTTTTACCGTTTCGGGATCACTGATAAGTTCGTTCCAGTCCGACGGCTTCACGTATTGTCCAGCTTTGTTTGCAGGATCAAGGCCTGGAACTCCGAGAGGAACCACCTTTGTTTTGATAGAAAATGAGGAAATTTTTCCAACTTTTGACAAGAAGAGGGATACATACCTCTTTCTTTAGCCTCACTCGAACGTGGTTCCATCGAAACGCACCATCACTGCCAACTTCATCGTAAGACGCTGGTGCTCGAGTTATCCTCAGATTTGCGAGGCGAGCGTCTGCCTGGATGCTCTCCAAGACCTCCGCCACGGCTTTTTTCGTGCCAGAGATACTGCCATTGATGCCCTCGGCAGCGAGAATGATACCCCCTGAAACATGCTGCTCAGGAGTCACTTCCAAAAATCTCTGGGAAGTTTTTTTTTTTTGTTCGTTTGAAGGCTTACCAGTCTGCCGCAAACATCCACTAGAGATTGTCTCTTCGTTGTATAGTCGGGAATATCAGCAAACTTATAGAATGACACGACTGTAAGATCATCCAAGTTCTTGGTGCTCGCGAGCTTATTCGTAACTTCATCGTCTTCGCTGGGATCCTTGGTGCTTGCATTAACCAACACTGTCATTCTAGCGCTAGCTCTAGAGGAACCACACATGAGCTCCTTACCGGTGAAACACGGCGACAAGCCTTGCAACATCACAAAAACTAAAGCCCTAAACTCTGGCCATGGCCTCGTCTTCCATTGTAACTTCTTACACTTCACAGTGGTTTCCAAAGAAGCTCCCGGGAGCAAACGCCGCGGCAAATAGATTTAAATCGTCGCGGGTGTTCTTCGTCCAGCCTCGAGCAGCAGCAGCGAGCGATTCTTCAGTGAAAGCGCTATTTTTCGATTGCGATGGCGTTTTGGTTGACACAGAGAAGGATGGTCATCGAGTTTCCTTCAATCAGACCTTCAAGGAGGTAAGTTGCAGTTAGAAATGCTCCAAGTTTCAAGGATCTTCCTCGCATTCTTTTCCAAAACAGAAAGGATTGGACACAGTCTGGGACGTGGAGCTCTACGGAGAATTGCTCAAGATTGGAGGCGGCAAAGAACGGTTTGTCTTGCAAGTTCTTCGTGTTCTACACTGGCAAAGTTTGTTAACTTCGATACTTCCAAGCTTCTTGGCAGCATGACACACTACTTCAATCAAGTTGGATGGCCCGACGCTGCTCCAAAAGACTCCGCCGAGAGAAAAGCTTTCGTAGCATCGCTGCACAAGCGAAAGACGGACTTGTTCATGGAGCTTATCGATACTAAAGAACTTCCACTTCGTCCAGGAGTTGCCAGGTGCTTCTTTTTCTTCTTCTTTTGTAACTATCGATGCTATCAGGTTAGTCGACGAAGCACTTGCGAAGAACATCAAGGTCGCCGTTTGTAGCACCTCAAACGAAAAAGCTGTAAGATCACGCACACTGTTTGGTCGATAATATTTGTGTGCCAACAGGTCTCGGCTATTGTCAATGTTTTGCTCGGTCCTTTGAGAGCCAGATCCATTTCCATCTTCGCTGGCGATGTAGTCCCTCGCAAAAAACCAGATCCAGTTAAGAAATCCAGTGTTGGAAGGTTTTCTTCCCTGTGGTTGTGTTCCTGATTGGTCTCGCCTCGCAGGCCATCTATACTTTGGCTGCTACATCTTTCCAAGTTGAGCCTTCGAGGTGCTGCAAAAACTTTTCTCCGCAATCACGAGATTTGTTTCTTGATTTTTGCACAAACTTCGTTGATGTTTGATGCAGTTGCGTGGTCATCGAGGACAGTGGGATTGGCCTCCAATCTGCCAAAGCTGCCGGGATGACTTGCATTGTCACCAAGAGCGTGTATGTAGCACTCTTTCCTTTCTTGTTCTTCGTCTTTGGTATGAAAGTTTTCTCAAGAAATGTTTGTTTTCTCTTCCGCCAGATATACTGCGGATGAAAACTTCGATCGAGCTGATGCTGTGTTTGATTTCATCGATTTTGGCATTGAGTTTTGTGAGTCCTTGGTGACGAGCAAAGTTCTTAGCTGATGAATCGCATTATCTCGTCCTGGTATATGTTTCTTTGTTTAAAACCAAAAACCTTTCTCTTTGGTATCCAGTTATGAGCTCGTTCGATCAAAGGAATTCACCATATGAGCCAAGCGAATTCACCATATAAGTTCGATCCACCAAACGTATTCATTCCTATCTATTTGATCGTGACTACCATATCAAAGCTAAGCACAAATTCAAAGAATGGCACAAGACATTTTTCTTAAGCGTGCAAAAATTTAAAGTAGGCTCTGCTACCTGGAGAGCGCAGGCTTTGGACAAGGAGCGAACCAGGCGCGATGGTCGTTTTACGTGCCAGCGTGGCCAGCCACGTCACCATCTTGTGTAGTTCCTAGCAAGAAATGACCTTTGTCACCCAAGATACAAGCCTGGTTTCCTATGTTCCAGAAAACTCTCGAGAGCTTTAGCGCTCGACAGTGGCACGCTTGAATACTTTGGAGCGCTCAGAAGCTCCGCCACTCTGCTGGAGCTCTCACATTCGACGCATTTTAGCTGGTTATAGAAGCTGCTGGATTTGTTCTTCCCAAGGTATGATCTAGAGCTTTAGATCTTTGTTTTATTCTCTAGATTGGAGCACATGATTGGTTTTAGATACTTATCTAGCTTGCTGTTTTGTACCACAAGGAAGAAACTCATCATCTTTATCAGCAGATCACTGTTCGGATCCTTTGTAAGTTATTTGTAAACTCCTTATGTGTTTGATATTCATACACGGATCATCTCAAATGCACCGATGCTTCTGGACGGGAATTATGTTTTCTAACAGAACTTTCTATCGTTTGGAGAGATCACACAGGAGATGGAACTCCGAAGCGTGCCTGTTTCATCTAAAGCTCTAGAATCCCGAAAGGAAGAAATCGGCTTAATGTTGAGGGTTTTGACAGCGTCAATAAACACCCTATCCAGATAAGCAAAAGCCCTTATAAGTTTGCGTAAACATACAATTACTAAACTAAACTTCAGCTCAAACGTTTCAGCTCAAAAGTTTCAAAAGCTTCAAGTTCAAGGTGCCAAAGATCAACCAAGATGCAAGTAAGGTAAAAGTCTTGCTTTTTCAAGCTTGTATGTACTGTTTTGGCTCTCACCAAGGCTCTCAATCTCATGCAAAAGAACCTCAAACTGCTGAGAAGCAGCACAAAACTCCACATTTACACATTCTCACCGGTTGATTCTTTTGCAGGTAGATGGACGTGTAAATTTTGAATGAAGTGGCAGCCATTGCCTCTGATGGCGCTTGGAATCTCCTCACAAGCAGGAGGTGCTGTCCGATAGATTGGATGCACAAATATCCTCTCTTCTGGAAATAAAACATCTCCATGAAGCTCTGGAAGTTTTTATGATTTTGCAAATACTTGTTTGTGGCAGCCATTGCCTCTGATGGCTGGAACCACTTCACAAGCAGGCGGTAGCTTGGATGCACAAATATCCTCTCTTCTGGAAAGAAAACATCTCCATGAAGTTCTGGAAGTTTTTATGATTTTGCAAATACTTGTTTGTGACAGTGACAACAAAAAGTATAAGAATAAACCTAAAATATTTTAAAACAAAATAAATGGTAATGGTAAAGTTTGATCTTGTTCCTTGGTGGGAATGGCGCCGCAGATACTGCGCAGGCACCCGTGTAGCCGGGAACTTAGGGTTCTTCACGGCATGTGTCTAGCAGGAGGTGAGCCATATTCAATCCAGCTTCTACGCGGCCTAAAGAGAAAAGCGATGGATCCCAGGCGTATATCGAGGCGCTAGCACTCTCCATCCCGCTCCATCGATCCTAAAAGATCTTCTCCAGGACGTCATCGATGCCGGATTCCAGCTCCAGCGCCATTCGTGCAAGCTCCGGGGGCGAATGCCGGTGCCTGAAGCCCAATACCACGCTACCTCGTCAGCATACTTCTCAGCCACTCGCCGCAGTGAGTGGTTTTGCAGTACAGCTGGCAATAACTCTTTGCAGGCTGGGAATGACACAAGTGCTGTGCCGCGCTGTTCTTCGTGTTGCCGCGCTCGCCAGTGCTTCTGCACAGCTCTAAGAGAGTGCTTCACCAGGTTGCTCTCGCTACCCGAGTCATAGCTCTCTCAGTCGATGATGCCAGTGTCACTCACACGTTCTCCCAACACATTGCAGCTCCCCGGGAGTTCCGAGAGAAACAGGCACTGTTACCGTACGAGGATGCTTTATCAACTTCACTGAGCATCTCTTCCAGGAAGTGGAAGAAATGGTGGCTGTGACGGCCAAGGGCTCGACTTTGGTGGATCCATTTCGGGGTGCTGAGCATCACAGAGCCCGCCGGGAGCATTTCGGTGGTACCACCATTGCATTTGCTAATCATTGGCGGCAATGGAGACGCCCGTGAAGTAGCTTTAGCGTGGATGACACCGATTTGGCGCCCGGACGTCAAGCTGCACAGCATGTCATGAGGATCAAACCGCAGGACAATTCAACTTCTACAGTCATGGTCTCGCAAGCTCGAATAAGATAGAGAATACTCGCGGAGTTCATCCACTTGTGCTCGGCAGGTAAGTCAAAACACTTAAGTTTTCTCTGTAAAGTTCTTACACTTCCTCTACTCCCAGGTCCAGATAAAGTTCTTACACTTCCTCTACTCCCAGGTCCAGAGAGCGATGGTTCTACTCCTCGAGGAGGGCAGCGCTCTTCCGCGTAAAAAAAGGGACACTCTTTGGTGCAACCTCGTCTACTTTCCAGCTTCACCACCACTGAGGAACGATCCTTGCAAAGGACGGATGCTGGAGTTGCAGCTATGGAATCCTGAGATACAAGCTAGTGTAGGCGGGGAAACTTTGGAGGAGGTGAGACCCAAGTGAAGTTCAGATGGCAGTGGGGTTGAAATGGTGTTCAAGGCGAGCTCCAAGTTGCGGATGCAGTTCATGTCCCAGATTCTAGCGTCCAATCAACCGGCTACCTAGAGCTCGGTGACGGCTTGCGCGCTCACACCAGTGGAGATGCGAACAACACCAACGCGATCCGGCGCGGAGCTGGCACGAAGCTCAAGTTCTCGACGAGCCGGATACTCAAGTGGCGGATCGCAGCTGCGGGAATTGGGAGTGGCCGCCGTGGGTGGCATCGTCGGATTCGTCTCTCCCGATCAGCACGGTGATCGTGCTCGCCTGGAGATCAAGATCATCCAAAAACCAGAGGAGATGGAGCTGGAGGGGCGCCACAGCGATTCCAGGAATTCTCGGTTTGTAAGTGTTCCTGGAGCAGCGTGAAAGTTCTTCCCGCAAAAATTTGAATTCAAATAAGCTCACGACCCACACGACGGCCCCGATTAAAGTTCGAGGGTCTCGCTTTCCATGCCGAGCCTGGGTGCCGAACCTGGGCTGGTTGGGGTAAAAGAATAGCTTGGCAACCCGCGCGTCTTCCAGAGCATCGCAGCTCACAGGGGGCTAGGGTTTCCTGTGGAAAGCCCGGTTGCTGCATCAGAAATGCATTTGATCAATTCGTGATGTCATCAGGATTTCCAGGTGGGAGAACTTCCAGATCTTCCAACAGCGGATCTTGTTCCGGAGTTAGAGCCAGGACGACAAAGTCGAGCAGCATTCGTCGAGGTTAGCTTTGCATCTCCTACACTTTGACAAGAGTGTGATGGTTTCCAGGTTTTCCCTGTGAGTGAGGGTGCAACAACATCACATGTCAAGGGAGCGCACGGAGATTCTACATTAGGCGAGGTATAACATGGCAGATGCATTGACAAAGATTATGATC